AATAAACTTAATATAAGCACTTTAGAATAGTCACATTTTTTTATTCTACCTATCACTATACTATACTATTCTATCATTCGGAATGCAGATTCATCACGAGAAGAATGAGAAAGAAACTTGTGTGTTGCTCTTTTAAATAAATATTGTTTTAATTATATCTACATTAACAAGGATTAGGCATGCGACGAATTTTATTTTTATTATTATGAGTCATTTGAGCTCACAAGAGTATCAAATATCCATACATATATTAGTGAGATTGTGAAATAAACAACTATGTTTTGCAAAAGAACCTTCTAATGTTCTGAGTATATAACCTTCGCCTTAAACTCGTGTCAACTCGTGTTTAAGTGAATTAATATTTTAACTTGTTTAAAATATTGTTACTGTACATAGTAGTTGTAGTTACCGAGCCTTCAGGTGTAGATGACTGTAAAGTTACATTGAAATTTTGTGAAATAATTCTATAGTTGTTTAAAAAAATTAGTTGCGATGAAATTTAAGTGAAATTCAACTCTCTAATGTGATTTAATAAGTGTTATTTTTACTTGTATTTTATAGTTAAAAGTGGTATGTGTATTTTAATTACAATAAAAAAAAGATATTTAATTTTGACGGCTCTTGGTTTTAAGCGCTTTGCTTACGATAATAGCGGATTCAATTCTCGATTCTTCTTTTGTATTGATGTGTATGATTGTTTGTATTGGTCTGGGTGTTTTCAATATATATTATTTGTAGTTTGTATTCACAAACTTCAAGTTAAAATGTAAAGTAACAATAAAATTATTTGAAAGAGCAACACGCAAGTTTCTAGCTCGTTCTTCTTGTGATGAGACAGCTTTCCGAATGAGCGGTAGAATAAAAAAATGTGACTATTCAAAAGTGCTTTAATGTAAGTTTATTTGACTAGATATTATTTCAACAACGCAGACAAGAGATATGTGCAAGAATCTTGCTTGTTACTCTTTTAAATTAATCTTGTTTTGAGTAAATACACATTAATAAGGAGGAGGCATGCGAAAATTGATATAGAAACCGCTATGAATTCAATCTCAAATCAGAATCAATTACATTCAGACGGAAATGCAAACGTTTGCATTTGTAATGATTATACTAACTAATCTGACTTATTTTGGCTATTTTATATTATTCCGGACACAATAATATGATATTTATGTAAAAATATAGTGATGTACATTGTATAAAAATATGTAAGTCAAGATATATATATACTAGCTGTCTCGGCAAACGTTGTTTTGCCATATAAATTAATAACGTTATAAAAAAATATGAGTTGGTGATAGAAGGGTGAAAATTTAGGGTTCTATGTATATTTTAATAACATAAAAATTTTGCCCATAAAATAAAATAATAATGTTAGGGGTGGACAACCCTTATCCCTTAGGAGTATGAAAAATAAATAGTAGCCGATTCTCAGACCTACTGAATATGCGTATAAAATTTCATAAAAATCGATCAAGCCTATCAAGTTTGGGAGGAGTATGGTAACTAATATTGTGACACGAAAATTATATATATTTATTTTATTTATTTAGTCTAGTGCTGGGTCCTATGTATAATCAACTTTATAATATTAGTAAGTTTGAAAATGTATAAATAAATAAATATATTGATGTACATTCTATAAAAATATGTATGTAATCGGAAGTCCGTTGTGTGGTCCAATTGAAATGAGGGCAGCGATTTTTTTAATTTATACAAATAAATCAAATTGAAGTAACATATTAGTATTTCAAATTAACAGTTTTTAATTAAATGCATTATGCAATTTGAGTATATACAGTAATTATTTAAAAAAAATCATATTAAAAATTTTTGTCTGTCTGTTTGTGATGGAGATATTCAGTGGATTACAGATATACAGCAGTAAATATAATTTATTCTCGTTCCGATCAGTTGCACGTTACATATCAACTGTTACTTAGCAACATTACTTATTTTAAATGTGATAGATTACATTTTATCTTCTAAAATCAATGTAGCTAATACGGTCCCTGAATCCATTACATTTAAGACACTACATCTCTACATTTAAATAACATACATAATATAAAACAATATACAGAAGAGTAAACAATAGAACAATAGCAAAAACATATCCAAAATTAAATCTGTTAAAATACTAATCACTAAGTCACATTCAGCGTTACTAGTATGTTTTAGCTTTTAGCTTTTAAGTTGTATAGTATATAAGATAGATAGCATCTAAGAATACTGTAATGCTGAATAAATGTCTTTATTATTATTATTATTATTATTATAATTATAGTTGGACCTATACTGGGCCCATAACCTGATGGAGATATTCAGTGGATTACAGATATACAGCAGTAAATATAATTTATTCTCGTTCCGATCAGTTGCACGTTACATACATATAAAGTAACAATATGTGCTATGTCTGGTCTAGTATTTACAGCTAAATAATTAAGATATCCTATTAAATTTTGATATGGCAAGTCGCATTCCGAATTTGATTCTGATTGCTTTTTCTAATTAAATATAATTTACTCTCGTTCCGATCAGTGGCACGTTACATATCATCTGTTACTTATCAACATTACTTATTTTAAATGTGATAGATTAGACTTTTTCTTCTAAAATCAATGTGCCTAATAGTTCTTGATAATCTCTGAATCAGCTTTGACGGTACTTCACTCGCAGATAGGTAATGTTATAAGGAGTAACTTAAGCTACCTATATATTTGAAATCTTATTTAGTTTAATAAAAAAGAGCTCAATACAATGCAGACAAATTCGCGAGTAATATCTAGTATATACAGTACTTACATCAAATAATTAATTTTAACAATTTCTGTCTTGTCTGTCTGTTTGTTCATGTTAGTGTCTAGAACACTAGTTCAATTATGACGGGACTTTCACTCGCAGATAGTGTTATAAGAAGTAATTAAAGCTAACTTTGTTTTTGATTTTTGTTAGATTAATAAAAAAAATCTAAATTCAATGCAGACAAATTCGCGAGTTAAACCTAGTATATTATTTATTTTTTATTGCGTAATAAATATACAAAAGACAAGCTTAATGCCATATGGTATTCTCTACCATAACATAATCTAAATATATATATAACTCAAAGGTGACTGACGTAATGATCTATCAACGCACAGCCCAAACCACTGGACGGATCGGGCTGAAATTTGGCATGCAGGTAGATGTTATGACGTAGCATCCGCTAAGAAAGGATTTTGATTAATTCTACCCTCAAAGGGATAAAATAGGGGATGAAAGTTTATATGAAACTTTGTCAATTTTAAACCGATCGGGCTGAGACTTTGCATGCATAAATCTACTATGACGTAGGCATCCCCTAAGAAACGATTTTGATAAATTCCACCCCTAAGGGGATAAATTAACGCGAGCGAAGCCGAGGGCAAAAGCTGGTCTATACATATAAAATAGAGTGTCTGTTTGTAATATTGAAATAACCGTTTTTTACTGAATGAATATAAATACGATACATACACCAAAATAACAATTTTTACAATTTTTGTCTGTCTCTTTGTTCATGTTAGTGTCTAAAACACTGGATCAATTATGACGGGACTTTCACTCGCAGATAGTGTTATAAGGAGTAATTAAAGCTACTTTTGTTTATGACTTTTTAAGATTAATAAAAAAAAAGTTAAACTGAACGGTACGACAGACACACACGTACAGACGAAATTGCAGGTATAATAATACTTAGTATATTATTTATTCTTTATTACATATAAATATATATATATATATACTTTCTTGGAGTTATTATAGACAAAAACCTTAATTGGAAACTTCATATTGATAAAGTATGTAACAAAGTTAACAAATTCGTTTATGTTTTGAAAAAATTAAAGAATATAACAAATCAAAATACCGCTCTAACAGTTTACCACGCTTATGTAGCATCCGTTTTAAGGTACAGCATCATTGTCTGGGGTAACAGTGGGCATTTAAACAGAGCTTTCATTGCACAAAAAAAATGTCTGAGGGCAATATGCGGCACCACCCCGCGTACGTCTTGTAGGCCATTATTTATCAAACTTAGTGTATTAACGGTACCTTCAATGTATATATTGGAAGTCTGTAATCATGTTAAACGGCATCAAGAACTTTTTACGAAAGCCAAGGACATATATCCACGTAACACTCGTAATGCAGAGAGGTTAGTTTTAGACATTATCCCAAGAACATCACTGTACCAAAATAATAGCACTGCTATGTTTATTAAAATTTATAATAAAGTTCCTGATACTATCAAACAATGTAATATAAGACTTTTTAGGGCAACGTTACAGGAGTGGCTAATTGTAAAAAACTTCTACAGTATAAGGGATTATTTGACATACGAACTCTGACCTCATGTAATTATAGTTTTAATAATATTGATTGACATTAGTGGAATACTGTGACATTTATTATTTTATTGTGGTACCTATTATAATGTTTTAATTAAATTTAATGACATATTGTAATTATGATATCATTTTCAATATTTGCATACCTCTACGGGGTGCTGCATGTCGTGTACTTATACCTATTATATTGTAAGATCAAAATTACCATGTAGCAGGCAAATAAATAAACTATTATTATTATTATTATTATTATTATAAAAGGCGAGCTTAATGCCATATGGAATACCATAGAGATACTCTATGATAACATTATCTACTATATATGTCAAGTAACATGTAAAATTACACTGTTAATCTCCTAAAATAAATAAAAAAATAAATATAAGTTACTGGCAACTCACTCGGCTTCGCCCGGGTGTACATGTATTATATAAACCTTCCTCTAGAATCACTCTATCTATTAAAGAATCGCTTCAAAATCCGTTGCGTAGTTTTAAAGATTTAAGCATACATAGGGACGGAAAGACTGCGACAGCGACTTTGTTTTATACTATGTAATGATGACTTTCGTATTTATGTTTCAGATTTCTTTAAAACTGATCGTTGATAAGGAAAGACATACAAATGGCGCATATTACCAGAAATAGGCGACTCAATCCACCTAATTCAAGTAGAAGTAAGTAAACATACAATAGAAATCAAAATAATCTCTATTCAAATAAACTTGACTACTAAATAACTTAATATAAGCACTTTTTATAGTCACAGTTTTTTTATTCTACCACTCATCAGGAGCGCGGCCTCGTCATAAGAAACTTGAGTGTTTCTCTTTTTAATAAACTTTATTTTCATCCAGCTGACCCCGCGAACTGCTTTTCGCCTCAAAATTAAATATATCACGGTTTTTTGAAGTTTAGTTACGCAATAAAGTTCTGGAACGCACCCTGTTTGACAGGTTTGTATTGGAAAATTAAATTAAATTTTGCAATTCTCCATTCTCCATGTAATTTCTTCATATTTTATCACCGGTTAAACCTTCCCTGGACTTCTATAAATATAATTGTTGTTTTTACTATTTTACATGCAATTTCTTTATATTTTATCACCGTTTTATCCTTCCCTGGACTTCTATAAATATAATTGTTGTTTTTACTATTTTACATGCAATTTCTTCATATTTTATCACCGTTTTATCCTTCCCTGGACTTCTATAAATATAATTGTTGTTTTTACTATTTTACATGCGATTTCTTCATATTTTATCACCGTTTTATCCTTCCCTGGACTTCTATAAATATAATTGTTGTTTTTACTATTTTACATGCGATTTCTTCATATTTTATCACCGTTTTATCCTTCCCTGGACTTCTATAAATATAATTGTTGTTTTTACTATTTTACATGCGATTTCTTCATATTTTATCACCGTTTTATCCTTCCCTGGACTTCTATAAATATAATTGTTGTTTTTACTATTTTACATGCGATTTCTTCATATTTTATCACCGTTTTATCCTTCCCTGGACTTCTATAAATATAATTGTTGTTTTTACTATTTTACATGCGATTTCTTCATATTTTATCACCGTTTTATCCTTCCCTGGACTTCTATAAATATAATTGTTGTTTTTACTATTTTACATGCGATTTCTTCATATTTTATCACCGTTTTATCCTTCCCTGGACTTCTATAAATATAATTGTTGTTTTTACTATTTTACATGCGATTTCTTCATATTTTATCACCGTTTTATCCTTCCCTGGACTTCTATAAATATAATTGTTGTTTTTACTATTTTACATGCAATTTCTTTATATTTTATCACCGTTTTATCCTTCCCTGGACTTCTATAAATATAATTGTTGTTTTTACTATTTTACATGCAATTTCTTCATATTTTATCATCATTTAAACCTTCCCTGGACTTCCACGAATATTTCAAGACTAAAATTAGTCAAATCGGTTCAGCCGTTCTCGAGTTTCAGCGAGACTAACGAAAAGCTATTAATTTTTATATGTATAGATAAATGAATACAATGAAATAATGTTTTCATATATTTCAATTTTTATTATCACTAGCTTGACTGTGTTGCGAACTCTGAAAAAGACCGAGTAATATATATCTGCAGCAGCAGGTTGCAGTTTTTTTTTCGGACTACTCTAATGCTGTTGGCCGCAGCTGGCCTTTACAGCTACACCGGACGATAGCAGGCGAGTGCAGATGGCACTCCAAACCAAGGAAGGACTTATGGAGCGGCTGAAGGCCAACTCCTGCTTGACGGATACGACTTTAATCTGAGGACACCATTAGGGGTCCGAAAATCGGCTCAATATCGATCCCCATTTGAATTGGACGGGGGATCGATCGGAGGGGACAGGTCGCAGTGCTACAAGTCTAAAGTAGACATGCCGCGAGTAGTCGCATACCGACTAATCGCCATTCACTTTGGCGAAATTTTTATTATTATTAAATAATATCACGCTTAGGCATAGTACTCTTGAACTTACCGCACATTTATTTGTTACTATAACCATGTTTTTTCTTAGGTTATCAGAAAAGAAAACAATAAAGTTAAAGAAATCAGTTTCATATCATAATATTGGTTGTAATTCGACAGCCTCGGTGGTCTAGTGGTTTAGCACACCGCTTTACTATCCGATGGTCGTGGGTTCGATTCCTCGCACGGTACAAACATTTGTATTTATGAGTATGATTGTTTGTATCGGTCTGGGTGTTTTCTATGTATAATTTTTTTTTTTGTATCCATGTATTTATATCAGTTGTCTAGTACCCATACCACACGCTCTGCTTAGCTTAGGACTAGATGGCGCTGTGTGAATTGTCCTAAGATATTATTATTATTATTAATTTTTCATTAAATGCTGGCAACCCTTATTATACCTATTTTAAGGGGATACCTCGTTATGTCCTTTTTGTTCATTCAAAGTATGTAATACTGGCTATTATTCGATATTCGACGAATAATAAAAAAAATGTCGAGTGATGATGATGCCGAATACCAGCCGAATAATAGTGAGTATTCGAGGCAACTCTAGTCTAAAGCACTCAGTAATGGCCCAAACCTCTTCATAAAAAAAATGTATAAGTACCCATTACCACTCGTAATCAAGTGGGTCATCAAATTCTATGACGTATCAATTATTAAGAAAAAAATATTACCTTTTTTTTTAAGCGATCGTCTTTTTTCATAACATAATAATTAGAGAAAGATATAACGTTTAAAAGTTTTTGCAATTACTTCAATATTCCCAATTAACACTATATCTTTCATTGCTTTTTTTATCTGATTCTACAGTATCTATAGCAATAAAAATATGTCATGTAGACACGTTTGTTTATGGTTGAAGTCCATTTTTTTACTCGCGGTATTGAGTGATGTTTTTTTGTTTCAGAAAAACTACTGATATGCTTCTTCATTGGTATCAGCAGTCTGGTCATAGCTACTTTGCTGGTGACCATAGATCCTGTATTAGTTATAGCTCAGTTTGTAAGTATATGTTTATTTATGTTCAAGACAGTTCCTTTGCCGAGTAGGCAGAGAAACTTGAAAGATATTTATAGATAAGAGTGTAATCTGGAGTCATATGAACTAACTTTAAGATAGGCTAAGGAAACTGCAGAGACCTGGCTTGTAAAACTTAACCACTCGCAAACGGAGAACATTATTGAGTCACAAAACAAAGCATCCCCATTCCCACAAAATAAATAACTCCAAAGACATAAACAAACACACACAAACACACATACACGCACACACACACTTAATCTTTATTTTAATTAATAAACTACCTTATAATATTAAATTTTATATAGATACTGTATTAGAACTGACTGTCCTAAAATCAACTAAATAGGTAAAACATAGTCTGGCCCCTGCGAGCTATGCAAGCTATGCTTAGTGCAGAGACCGTTGTAAATATACATAACTGACCACTTTGTTTAACTGTCATAGGTTAAGTTAAGTTAAGATATAAGTGTCTTTCTTGAAATAAATATTATTATTATTATTATTTGACCGGAAAATTGGAAAAATTTGACACTGTTTAGAAACGGCGGCGGTATGGGTCATTGTATTACTATGTTTATTATTTTAATTATGTATATGTGTTTATATGTACGCCATTTTGAAAAATAAACCCTTTTTTAGTTCAACAATCCAAGATCGCTGGTTGTTTTATTTATTTATTATCACCAGAAATAGAAATAGAAATAATCTTTAATCAAATAAACTCATTACAAGCAGTTTTGAATAGTCATATTTTGATTCTACCACTCACTCGGAATACAGATTCATCACAAGAAGAATGAGCAAGAAACTTGTGTGTTGCGTTAAATGTTTTTTTATATAAATAATTACAGTATAACGAGTAAGAGGCATGCGATAATCAACATAGAAATCGCTACGCACTCATTATTAGTGTAATCAGATAATATTGTCAGTGCTATGGATTTAAAGTTTTTCTATAAAAACATTATTATCGTTAACGAATTCTTCAATTTTATAGTAAGCTTTTTTGCAAAGGAACTGTTTTATTTGACATTTAAATCTTTAGAGGACGCGGTACTAGTCTAGAACTTAGTGTTGGATTGTACAAAGAGATTTTTATTAGGTCTATGAAAAAATATATATTACTAGCTGTTCCCGCGACTTCGTTCGCGTGGAATTTTACTTTATTTTTCTAAAATAAAAGTAGCCTAAAGAACTAAAAATTATTTTGTTCGTCTTAATTTATACGTTCCATTAGGCACTGATAGGTTCAAACTAATACATGTATATCCTGAACCTTATTTTATCCCCATGGGGGTTGAATTTATCAAAATCCTATTTAAACGTTACCTTAGGACACGGCGCTGTGTGAATTGTCCTGATATAATAATAACATTATAAAAAAAAATTACAGATAAGTCGAATCGAAAAAAACACAGTAATATACAACGCGTTGTCGACGGAATTGCGCGGTGTGTTCGTGGGTACATACCTGTTCAACGTGACCAACCCTAAGGAGTTCCTGTCTGGACAGGACGAGAAGCTGAAGGTGGAAGAAATTGGCCCGTTCACATATCAGTTAGTAAGCAGTACATTTACTTTGACGGCCTCGGTGGTCTAGCCATTTAGCACCTTACTTCCGAAGGTCGCGGGTTCGATTCCTCGCACAGTACAAACATTTGTATTCATGAGTATGATTGTTTGTGTAGGTTTGGTGTTTTCTATGTACATATAATATGTATGTATTGACGAAAAAATATCTTCAAGTTATATATAAGCTTTAGCTAGCTTAACTTGGAACTAGATGGCGCTATGTGAATTGTCCTGAGATTATTATATTATAAATTATTATTACCAATGGCCTATACATTTTCTGATAGCAAAATGTCAATCTTCTATGATTTATATAAACATATATTATATATATTTATACATATATTATTACTAGCTGTACATACAAACGTTGTTTTGCCATTTAAATAAATATATTAAAATATAGGGGTTGTTGGTAGATGGGTAAAAAATTGGCTTGAGCCACCCTTAACACTTAGGGGTATAGAAATTAGTTATAAACCTATTCTCAGACCTACTGAATATACATATAAAATTTCATCAAAATCGGTCAAGCCGTTTCGGAGGAGTATAAACACGAAACCTGTGACACGAGAATTTTATATATTAGACTAGCTATTTGCCCCGGCTTTACACGGGTGTACATGTATTATACATATAAACCTTCTTCAATCACTCTATCTATTAAAAAATCCGTTGCGTAGTTTTAAAGATTTAAGCATACATAGGGACAGACAGCGACAGCGACTTTGTTTTATACTATGTAGTGATAATAATGACTTGATTCATTCTTTTTACAGAGAGCTACGGTCACAGGAAGGATTGGAGTTAGGGACAGATGAGGGCGTGATGAGGTACTCTCCGAAGACCAGGACTGAGTTCATACCGGAGAAGTCGATCGGGGACCCTAAAGATGTCATAGTGTCCATGCCGAATATTGCTTACCTGGTAAATAAATTACTTTAATTGTATTCAGTTCAAATTCAAAATATCTTGAGAAGAACTGACAAGAAACTCTGCTCGTATTCTTTACAAATAAATGTTGTACATGTTTACAATAATAAAGATTCATTTTCATATTCAAATATATTATTTATCTATTTATAATCTCATAATAATCTCAGGACAATTCACACAGTGCCATCTAGTTAAGTTATCTAAAGCATGTATTACGTGGACTAGATAACTAATACAATTACATAGATAATACATACATATTATACATATAAAACACCCAGACCGATACAAACAATCATACTCATGAATACAAATATTGCGTATATTGCGTATTGCCATGCAAGGAAAGGAAGGATTGCGTATTGTCTTGCAATGCGAGGAATCGAACCCGCGACTATAGGATGTAAAGCGGTGTGCTAGACCGCTAGACCACCTAGGTCGTCATTGTATTTTTTTTTAATTTATCCCCTTAGGGGTGGAATTTATCAAAATTATTTCTTAGGAGATGCCTACGTCGTAGTAGCTTTATGCATGCAAAGTCTCAGCCCGATCGGTTTAAAATAGACAAAGTTTCATATAAACTTTCATCCCCTATTTTATCCCTTTGGGGAAAGAATTAATCAAAATCCTTTCTTAGCGGATGCCTACGTCATAACATCTAACTGCATGCCAAATTTCAGCCCGATCCGTCCAGTGGTTTGGGCTGTGCGTAGATAGATAACTACGTCAGTCACCTTTGAGTTATATATATTTACAAAAAAATATCTCAGTATAGTTGTCTAGTACCAAGAACAAAAGCTCTTAAGTTTTATTTGACTTGACTTTTGTTTGACTTCACTAATGTAATGTGTATATCTGTTTTTATTTTTGTTCTTATTATTACAGTGCCTTTTGTGTGTGTGTGTGCCTTTAACGTGAATAAAATTTGTATCTATCTATCTATCTATCTTTTAACATACAACATCTTATTTTACAGAGCATGACTTCAATGGTCAGCACAATGCCTTATTTTTCAAGACTGGGGTTCAATCTTTTGACAATGCGCCTCAACTCTCAACCTATAAGGAACATGACGGCGTACGATTACTTATGGGGTTACAATGAAGATCTCATTACCCTCGGTAACACCATCCTACCGGGATGGATTAGCTTTGGCAAAATGGGAATATTGGATAGGGTAAGTTATTTTTAATATAGTAAAAAAAAACATTTATGGCGTCAAAGACAACGCTTTAAATTTAATCTTGAAAGTAAAGTAGCAAAGCGGATCATTTGTGCAAATGGGTGTACCTCAAGGATCTATTCTCGGTCCATTTTTATTATTTTACATTAATGATCTCCCGTAAGCCATGTAGGATAGATGCGGCATAGTGTTATTTGCAGATGATACTTCATTGATTTTTAAAGTTAATAGAATGAGTAATAATTGTGATGATAAGTCAATTCAAAATATCTTTATTCATGTGGGTTACACACTCTTATGATATGTCAAATCTACCATCAGTTCGGAATGACTTCGAGATGAGAAGAACTGACAAGAACCTCAGCTCGTATTCATTTCAAATAAATGTTGTACATGTTTACATAATACAGATTCATTTAAATTCAAATTTGCGAGAATAGAGTGACCACCGGCATATGCTATTGCAAAATCATAAACCAGTGTTAGGTCGAGTTCGGGTTACGAATCTAATCAGTGTTCGTAACCCGAACAGACTATTTGAATAGAGAATAAATGTTTCTATTCTATTCTATTCTATTTCTAGATGTATGATAACACAGTGGACTATCGTATAGAGTTGGGTGCTACCAACGCCAACAAGTTCGATATAAAAAAAATGAACGGCCACGACCGTCTGACTGCTTGGGACTACACGGATGGTAACAGAAAGTAAGTAAAATCAAATTCAAAATATCTATATCCATGTAGGTCAATTACAGACTCTTATGATATGTCAAATCTACCGTCAGTTCGGATTGATTTCGAGATGAGAAGAACTGACAAGAAACTCAGCTCGTATTCTTTTCAAATAAATGTTGTTGAGTTACCGTTTATTGAAAGTAGTAGATGCATATTAATAATGAACTAGGTGGTAAAGCGATTTAGTACTGCACCTTACTTTCGATGGTCGCAGATTTTCTCGGGTCAGTACAAATATTTGTATTCATGAGTATGATTGTTTGTATCGGTCTGGGTGATTTCTATGTCATCATCATCTGCTTCTTCCTTATCCCATTTATTTGTGGTCGTCGTAATATGTTTTTCTCTTCCATTTATCTCTGTTCGCAGTCATCGCGTTATTTACTCCCTTTCTCACCATATCATCTTTCACACAGTCTATCCATCTCTTTTTCGGTCACTTGCATCTAAATAAAGACTCCTAGTGCCTGTAATACAAGATCTGCTTACCTTGGGACTAGATGGCGCTGTGTGAATATATGAGATATTTTTTTTTAACTGAATTTCTTTTTTTTTTAAATAACAGTAAAGCAGTGTGCTAAACGGCTGACCACCGAGGCCGTCATGATTTAATGGATGTTTTGAAATAAAACTGTTTTTGTTTACAAATGACGAGCATGGCAATAGTTGTTCATGCACAGGATTTTCATTTAATGTTAGACATAGACACCAATATAAATATACATTGTAAATAAACTGGCTTTTAAAAAAAGTAATTAAATATTCAATTGAGTTTCTTGCCAGTTCTTCTCAATTAGACCTTATATACTGAACTGGACGGTAGGAAGAATTTTATAATGTAAAAAATTTGACGTTCATAATCATCTTTTACAGATCAAAATGCAATGAATTTCGCAACGCTTACGAAGGTATCGGATACCCCGCAAACATGTCCCCAGACAGGGAGATCAGGATATACAGGAACGTCCTCTGCCGGTTTCTTGAGCTGGACTATGTGGAGACCAGACCTATGAAGCCGGGAATTAACAGCCTGGTGTACACTATCAGTAACAGGACTTTTACATTGAACCCTGATACAGAGTGTCTTTGTCAAAAAGGAATGTGTATTGAGGGGATTTCTGATCTGTCCCCATGCTTTTATGGTAAGTAAGATTTTGGTGAAACTCTACTACAATGGATTCAGTGATTTAGTAGTTTAGCACACGCCTTATTTCCGATGGTTGCGGGTTCGATTCCTCGCGCGGTTCAAACATTTGTATTCAAGATACATAAAAATGTAGGTATCTTTGTATTTATATCAGTTGTCTAATACCTATAATACAGGGTCTGCTTAGTTTGGTACTAGATATTGAAATAACCGTTTTTTACTACATGCATATGAATATAATACGTAAATACATGGATACATTTTTACATACACCAAAATAACACATATTTTACAATTTTTGTCTGTCTGCATATGAATTTGTTCCGGCTTTTTACATTTTTTTCGCGGTTGGCTAATCCGTCAAAATTGACGGAACTATTTTTGGCCGGTAGTTGATGTAATAAGAAGTCACTTAGGCTACTTTTATTTAAAAAAAATAAAGTTTAATTCCGCGATCGAACGAAGTCGCGTGTATAAAAATTTTTTTTCATAGTACATACAATGCGTACCAATTCAACGATGATGCTATTATAGGTCTTCCCCTGTCTTTGTCTGCTGCTCATTTCACGGGAGCTAATCCAAAACTGTACAGCCACATCGACGGATTGAAGCCAGATCTTAACAGATTTTCCAGTGAATTTGTTATAGAGCCGGTAAGTAGAAAATCACTAATTTTACTTTATTTTAATTTTTATATTACTCTTGTTTTAATAAGGCTGCTGATAAACAGTGATAAAGTCCGAAACGAGCATGTAAGGGTCAGCTTCGGAGTGAAGAATTTAGACTTAGGTGGTAAGGATATATTTTGCATAAACCAGAAAACCACGTTTTATTACACTATTATGGTGGCAAACAAGTATACGGCCCATCTGATGGTAAATAGTTACCGTAGCCTATGGACGCCTGAAACACCAGGGCGTGTTGTTGTTGCGTATGCATATGCGTGTTGCGGACCCTTAAGAAAACTTAATATACTCCTCTTAAAATCTAAGTGTACGCGAGTTAATTCCACAATCTAGGGATGGTGTCCCAACATGCGCTGTCCTAACAATTATTGCGGACACTTGACCACAGGTACCGGAAACGTTACGACCTTCTCCACTAGTGATCGAACTTCGATCGTCAGGGGGAAGGGGATTGTTAGCAATGTACCATGTCAGGTTGACCACCACGCGGTTCCCCCTGGAAACCATCGTGATAAATTCATGGTGAATTTGTCACGGTGGGCTAACAGACCTGGCTTCATGTTGATCTTATCATCCTCCACTGGTGCCCCGCCAGCGTAAACCGTTAGCGCAGGCGAGTGCACCATTCCATTATCATCCATAAAAAAAAAACTCCGACCGTTATACGACACGTTTCGTCTTTGAACGAGGCATCATTAGGCAATGAATAGTGTTTGGATATGGTTTGGTACCCTAGTGTTGACTATTCGGTGATCAGACTACAACCCGGTCGTAGTCTGTCCGACATACTGTGAGAGCGTAATATTATAAAATATTTCTTTTGCTCTTGTCGGAGCCCTTGCCATTTTAACTTTTTCCTTGATCTGAGTGGGTCTTGATCTTCCCCTTCCCCTGTTTCTTTTATTTTTTCTACGATATTATTATTCATAAGTTTATCGTGTCTTATCAATTGGCCCAACATTTCTCTACGCCCATTTTTAATAATATTTATGATTAGTCTCTTTTCTTTAACTTTTTGCACTTTTTCATCTTATTTTATCTTAATTCTTTCCATCCTTCTCCAACACCACATTTTATAATTACTAAAGTATTTTAGATGAATGTTAATAAATGTTTAAGTGAATGTGGTATTTTCTTGTTTGTCATAATAAGTTGGATTTGCTTTGTTTGTAGAAAATCGGCATGGTGCTCGACACTTTCTTCACCGTCCAAGTGAACATCGTCGTTAAAGACGTCAGATTTAACGCAGCCACCAGCAAGTTTTCAGACATTGTGATTCCAGTCGCCTATTTCAGAATTGTAAGTCTCACCCTCTTATTTTGCATAATCATCATTTAAATGTTTAAACAGTTTTTTATTTAGCCATATAACTTCGGTGGTCTAACGTGTACCACACCACCTTTTGTCCGATGATCGCAGATCATGTATTATGATGATATGATTACTATCACGGTGCAAATATTTGTATTCATTAGTGTGATTATTTGTATCTTTCTGGATGTTTTCTATCTATATTTATTATGTATTATTAAAATGGATGTTTTTAAGTATTTCTATCTGATGTATAGTGCCCATAACATAAGCTATGCTTAGCTTGGGAATATATCCGTCATACTCGTGAGCGGGTACTGCTTGTGGTTTGTTTAGGTTACGAACACTGATTAGATTATTTGCTTGTGCAAGAATATATGCTGGTGGTCACTCTATTCTCCGAAATTTGAATTTAAAAATGTATTTGTATTATTGTAAACTTGTACAAAATTTATTTGAAAAGAATTCAAGTTGAGTTTCTTGTCAGTTCTTCTCATCTCGAAATCATTACTAACTGACGATAGATTTGACATATCATAAGAATCTGTAATAGACCTACATGAATAAAGATATTTCGAATTTGAATTTTGAATGGCGCTGATTCTCCAAAACGTATATTAATTTGTATTTAATTTTATTTCAGTACCAACCGCCGTTGACAGAAAATGACGAGCATACACTACAACTTGTATACGTCATCGGACCATACATCACTTTGGGATTTGTGGTCGCTCTATACCTCATATCTTTTATAGCACTATCGTACTGGATACGAATGCTGTACTGGAATTGGTTATGCTCTCAAGACAAGGGAATGGCTTTCGAAGCGGAGGGCAACTCGAAAATAAAGGGAGGTTTTCTTATATCTGCATTTCCACTCTTACGATGATGCATAATTTTAGTTTATTACTTGAACAACGATTTTAAGAAATGGGTGATATTTTTATAGTAAGTCCAATTGTAATTAGCGAAGTAAGCATACCATCTGACGTTCGTTGCAAATGATCAAATACGGCACTGACTTGATCTAGAAAATCAACAGGTTGTGGTTTCTTATTGTAACATTTGTATCAACACTCGGCACCCTTCCATATGTTTACGTTGCATAACTTAGATTTAAGTTCAGTGTAAAGTCAGTCCACGTTACGACTCCGCGTTGAATATGCGTTACTAATAAGCATTGTCCGTTCTTATTGTAATGAGACAGCTTTCCGAATGAGCGGTAGATTAAAAAATATATGATGACTATTCAAAAGTGCTTCAATGTAAGTATATTTGAATAAATGATTTTTTATTCTTATTCATTCCATGTAGCATACAACCAATTAAACTGCAAATCATAAAATAAGGCGCCGACTTGATCGAAAAAATTAATAGGTTGTGGTTTTTTATTGTGCCTACATTGTAATATATTAACAGGTTGTGATTTCTTATTGTGCCTACACTTGTAATATTTGTATCAACACTCGGCACCCTTCCATGTGTTTACGTTGCATAACTTAGATTTAAGTTCAGTGTAAAGTCAGTCCACGTTACGACTCCGCGTTGAATACGCGTTCCTTAGAATCCATGTAGCACACTATCAAATAAACTTACTAATGTAGTACAATCAATCCACATGTATATTCACTACCTAAGTAGTAATACTACAGGAAATAAAAAAAATAAGTAGCGACACCTCATCACACATCATATGTAACGCTACAGTTAGTTAGGTGAGGTGATAGCGCTGTGATCACGACTTCCCGAATCAGATGGTTGTGGATTTAGTTCACACTACTGCCACTGTTATTCCTCTTATAGTGATATAAAAAAAGATCTTTAAGTGGATTTAGACCAACCAACAACTGATGACGACGCTAAAAAAAGACGGTCTACTCTAGAAACTAATTTCAATTCGATAACATTATTTTGAAATGTTTCGTTAATTTTCGTCCTCCTAAATACACTAGCAACGGATTAATTTTCCAATTCGGGTTCTATGAAAGATATTGGTCCAAATCCACCTTTAGATGGACACGCGACCAAAATGTATACTTTAATTAGACGTAAGATAAATATAGTTAAGGATAGAGAAGTTACAATATAGCTTGTAACATAAGACATGCAGGTTTTGGTCCCATTTGTGGGAGTGGCCTGGGGTATTATAAAGTTATAGACATAGGTAGAGAGGATATATTTAACATGTTAAAGACCGCATGCCCACTGGTGGGTCACTCCGCAACGAAAATTTACACGTTGGTACCGGGTGATCACGCCCGCAAGCCCACTGGTGGGTCACTACGCAACGAAAATTTACACGTTGGGACCGGGTGATCACGCCCGCATGCCCACTGGTGGGTCACTCCACAACAAAAGTAAATTTACACGTTGGGACCGGGTGATCCCGTGGGCACTTTAATTGAAATAAATGTAGGGTTTAATAATATCAGGAAAGAATGCAAAAATTAACATCCCGATTTTTTTTTAATTTCACCAACGAAAAAAAATATGTAAAAGAATTTTTTTTTTGTTCAGATATAAATGATTTAATAAATCAATTTGCCGAAGAAAGGGCAAGGAGAGGGTATATTTAATTTGAATTGTTTGTAAAAATTTTGGAAAAAGTAACATATAGAATATGATGTATAAATATTTCTTTTAATTTTACGTAAGTTTTCTTTGTGTGAGAAAAATTTACCCAAACAAATTATCATACGGGGCCCAGCCAAGACACGCTACGCTTCTGAATACTGTCTACCTCAAATTATTGTACACTAAAAACATATTAAAAAATAATATACGTAATCTATACATATAAATAAAATTGGAGTGTCTGTTTGTAACATTGAAATAACCGTTTTTTACTACAAGCATATGAATACATGATAAATATACCAAATGAATATTTTTACAATTTTTGTCTGTCTGTCGGTCTGTTTGTTCCGGCTAATCTCTGAAATGGCTGGACCGATTTTGACGGGACTTTTTTGACAGGTAGCTGATGTAATAAGGAGTAACTTAGGCTACTTTTATTTTAGAAAATGTCTTTTGTTTTAGAAAAATAAAGTTAAATTCCACGCGGAGGAAGTCGCGGGAATAGCTACTTAACAATAAAACAAATGCCGGTGTATGTGAGAAAGATTTTTCAATGCGGTCTTGAAACACTGTATTTAATTAAGTTGGTATCTAACATCAAATCTCGAGCAGTGAAACGCATCTCCACTCAAATAGTATAAAAGAAAAAGAAATCGGCCGAAAAAAATTTGATATTTATCCACCTTGGCTTATCACTCTTACGCTATTCATAAATTGGCACTATTTACTAAACAATACACACGAAAAATGTTTTTTTAATTGCGACATTTTGAGAGATGTGATTTTATAAAATTAATGTAATGATTATACATGAACAAATGCATTTTTGTAATTTAAGACAATAACAAGCCAAGTAGGTAATCATTAACATAACAATTTTCAGAATTAAAAAATAATTCAATTAATTTAATCTTATATATAAAATTCTCGTGTCACAGTTTTCGTTCCCATACTCCTCCGAAACGGCTTGACCGATTCTCATGAAATTTTGTGAGCGTATTGAGTAGGTCTGAGAATCGGCCAACATCTATTTTTCATCCCCCTAAATGTTAGGGGTAGTCCACCCTTAATTTTTTTTTATTTTAAGGCAAAACAACGTTTGCCGGGACAGCTAGTAGTATAATAATTTATCGTTTTCCGATCATTACAATGTATCTTGTTCTAATGGGGATTGTAATTAAGACTACCAGAGCCTATATTCTATCCCCTAGCGATCTCCACAGACAAAAGTTTTATCCTTCAGCCGGGAGTTGGCCTTCAGCCGCTCCAAAAGTCCTTCCACGGCAATGGAGTACGATATGCACTGAAACATAAAATAAAAATTCAAATAATTGCATTAGAATAGTTCAAAAGTGGTAAATAAATTATTTGTTTATGTATTATTATTGAGAAGAGCTAGGAACTGGATCGTGAAAGTGCTTCTTTTCTCATTTTTTTTTATATCTTTTTAAACTTAGGTTAACTTTTGTACAATCTCAGTACATGCCAGTCCCATTGTACCCTAAAACTAATCACTCCATTACCTCAACAGTGAACAAATTACCTTAGCTTCCTCATATATTTATACATTTTAAGATAAATAAGCAATTTGTTTTTTAACGGTTAAAGGGTGAAGATAAGGCAGTTAAGTTACTATATGAAGACTCTTAGACCTCTGGAATGACAATGTTAACGTGATGATCATGTTTGTAGGCAACGGTTACCTATTACCACCAGCTTTCTTGCCTTTCAATTGATATAAAAAAAACTATTTAAATAGTCTATAGAACGAAAAAGTTTAAATTAAACCGATTTAGTGCAGCCCAATTCAGTGTTGCAAAGGTTTGAATATTTTCTCTTATCTTTGACTCTATAGGAAAACTGGCCATTTTTCTGGTGCTTCTTATTTTTACAATGTTTAAAATACTACAGTAGTTTAATATATAAGTGAATTTATAAATGTTAAGTTTTGAATTGTAAAATTACTATTTTATTAATCAAATGCCCACGTGCTGGTATGTGGGAGATCCTATGTTCCTCATAACGATGGACTGGTCTCCAGATCGTTTTAAATATTGGTGAAAGTATTTTTAAATGTTTAGTTTCGTAGATAACGTCTCACGTACAAATATATAAATTAACTTTTTATAACATTAGTGTAGTTTCACTGATAGTTACAATGTATGCTCAACTAGATTTAGTATTTATAAAATCGACTAAAGGATCAAAATCTCATTAGTAGGTACGAGTAAATCCGCAATATTAGTTATAGTTTGATATTATTTATTTCCTTAGCCTCAGTCGGATGTTAGTTTATTAAGAAAATAGTCTATTTTTTTTGTATAATCATTGACAAGATTTGTTCTGATGGAATTATTTTCAATGTATTAACCTGAGAGCCGAAAAATCTAAGAATTTCTTCATAATATTAATTAAGAATAAGTTTCTATGTTCATTTATGAGAATATTGTACATTTTATATATTAATAACCGGGTCTTAAAACGAATAATTTTAATTAAGATTTAACTAGCTTTTGCCCGCGTTAATTTATCCCCATAGGGGTGGAATTTATCAAAATGCTTTCTTAGGGGATGCCTACGTCATAGTAGCTTTATGCATGCAAAGTCTCAGCCCGATCGGTTTAAAATTGACAAAGTTTCATACAAACTTTCATCCCCTATTTTATCCCCTTGGGGGTAGAATTAATCAAAATCCTTTCTTAGCGGATGCCTACGTCATAGCATCTACCTGTATGCCAAATTTCAGCCCGATCCAGTGGTTTGGGCTGTGCGTTGATAGATCACTATGTCAGTCACCTTTGAGTTATATATATTAAGATTTAATTAATTTTAATAATTAACTTAACGAATAATAATTGTTAAGACCCGGTTAATGATATAAATAGTGTATATTTAACAGGAAAGTTTAATAATAAATATTGTACATAATGATGAAAAAGAAAAAATTGATGAAATAAATATTTTTTTTAATATTTATCTGTAATCTGTCTACCATTATTTCCGTATCATTATTTTTTTATATCAAATCGTTTGATAAACTCATCATGATTCCTTTCCTTCTTCCTTTTCTAATATTGTTTTTAATAAACATATATAAATACTTATACATCAAAGTGAGATTCAGAAACAGACGTTCTCACTGATGAAGTCTATACATATATAATATAATATAATAATTTATTTGCTAAAAAAACACAGTATAAAAGATGATAATTAAAGCTTTGTATCATATGTTTTGCCACATTTTAATAAAATTGGAGTGTCTGTTTGTAATATTGAAATAACCGTTTTTTTACTACATCCATATGAATATAAATTCGGTTATAAATTTTTGCCTGTCTGTCTGTTTGTTCCGGCTAATCTCAGAAATGGCTGGACCGATTTTGACGGGACTTTTATTGGTAGGTAGCTGATGTAATAAAGAGAAACTTAGGCTACTTTTATTTTAGAAAAATAAAGTTAAATTCCACGCGGACGAAGTCGCGGGAACAGCTAGCTAGTACTTAATAAATTCAGCTGATTGAATTCTTATTTTCGTCAAACTAAAAACCTAAAATTAAAAACCTTAAAAAAAAATATAATATGATGACTAAAATATATTATTAAAAGGGTTCCCTTTAGGCAACGTTCCTAAGATACTGGCAGCGTTCCCTCTTTGAATGGCTAGACTAATGCTTTGTCCAAGGTAGCTGCCAGCTCTTCGGTCTTCTGTGATGTCGACTAACCTTTTCGTTATTTCTTTGAAAAGTCTTATAGCGCTAGGACCCCACGGACCAAGGGTCTCGACACCGAATGGGACAAATTCATATTCGGAGCCTAGACCCCTGTATTTACATATTTTGGCTTTTTCAGCCGCTTCACACGCCGCACCAGCTCTGTTATTGGTTCCATGTAGATGGATTTTCGTTAAATAAATCATAATAATATTAAACCTGGACAATCAACTGATATCAATACTTATTCATTTTTATTGTAAACAAGCCGCACCCGCGACTTCGTCCGCGTGGAATTTAACTTTATTCTTCTAAAGGCAATTTATTTTTCTGAGGCAAAGATAGTTATTTATATATTGTGTAAATTTAATATTCATTTATAGTATATAAAAGTAAAAAAAAAACAAATAATTATGAATTAATGCTGCTGCACGGACTCCAGTCCATAGAGAAAAAATTAAAATTATCTTATATATAAAATTCTCGTGTCACAGTTTTCGTTCCCATACTCCTCCGAAACGGCTTGACCGATTCTCATGAAATTTTGTGAGCGTACTGAGTAGGTCTGAGAATCGGCCAACATCTATTTTTCATCCCCCTAAATGTTAGGGTTGGTCCACCCTTAATTTTTTTTTATTTTAAGGCAAAACAACGTTTGCCGGGACAGCTAGTAATGTATAAGATTTAACGTTCATAAGCGGCTAATATGTAAACATGAATAAATGATTTTTGAATTTGAATTTGAATTTACTTTCTGCTGTCAATAGTTAGAATACAAGTCTGCATCTGAACTAGCATCAGAACTCATGTAGTTCATCTCACAATTTCTACTTATGCTTCGACTACAGCCACTGGTATGAAACTTTGTCTTCTTCTTTCTCTTTCTTTCCATAATCTTCCTCATCACCTTCAAAGGCGGATGGTCGTGCACGACAGGTTCATAGACAGTTCTAGCAGGTATTACGATAGGTGATTGTGGTTGAAAAACAGGCACAGGTGCTGGTAACACTGGATATAAAAGTGGACACGGATTGTAACAACCGTACGGTGTGCAACAAACTCCATTTTGTCCATTCTGTGCACGCGGTTCAATATCCTTAGACGCGTTTTTTATTTCACTATTCTTTATTATTTTATTGTCTGATAAATCAGATTTTAATGGCTGATTGGATTTTACAAGTAAATTCAGGAAGTCTTTCTCGTCTGCTGCTAAATTCGGTATACAGTTAACATTATCGAAAGGTTTTAAAAGTGTTATCACAAAAAGAAGCAGTTCAAATCGACGCGAGCTCATAGTCAGCTATGATCTGGAAACTTTCTGAAATTTACGTCTAGATGTATAGCCTAATATGACGAGCCTAATATTACGTATTAGGAATTGTTTGCAGCAAATGTTTCCTTTGTTCAATAAGAATGACTTGTGTAAGATAAGACGGTGGTCTAGCTGTTTACTGCCTTGCTTTTGATGGTCGTGGGTTCGATTCCCCGTACGGCACAAAAATTTATATTAATGAGTATGATTGTTTGTATCTGTCTGGGTGCTTTCTATGTATAATATGTATGTATTTACGAAAAAAAATATCCGTGTATTTGTATAAGTTATCTAGTACTCATAATACAAGCTTTAGCTAGCTTAACTTAGGTCTAGATGGCGCTGTGTGAATTGTCCTGAGATTGTTATTATTATCATTTACTAGCATTTGCCCCGGCTTCGCACGGATGTACATGTATTATATATATAAATCTTCCTAGCTAACTAATAGCTTTACTTGGGTCTAGATGGCGCTGTGTGAATTGTCCTTAAAAAATATTGTAAAAGCAACTAGTTGATTAATTGATTTGTTAGACTTATAAATTATTGATTGTAATGAAAATAACAAGTTTATTTTTTTATTAATAAGTCTTATTAGTGCAGTAGGTTTATAACTGTATTTTGAAATATTTTATCATTTATATAAAGGAAAAGCAACTAAAAATAAATTAACTTTCTACAAAAGCGAAAAATTAACAAATATTATTTATTGTACCTATATATTTAACATTAACATCATAATTTTAATAAATTTAAATAGAACGTTGAGATTTTAGTTAATATATTAAATTATATAGAAAACAGTCCAGTATGATTTTTTTTTGTAATAGTTGAAGAGTTAAGAAGATTTGAGCAGATTTAAGATTAATAATGCTGGTTCTATAATTACAGCTTCTTCTATCTGTAAGTATTTGACAAATATTGGTCCCCTAGCTGACCCCGCAAATGTTGTTTTACAATATAAATTAAAATCGCTATTAAAATAGGGGCTGGTGCTATCACATCAAAAATACTTATAGAAGTGTGAAAATTTAGGGTTGTTTGTATTTTTTTATGCCAAATAAAAAAATAAAAATAAAAAACTTTGTCGAAATATTAAAAAATATTTTTTGCCGAGCCGCTCTTAACATTTAGGGATATAAAAATTAGTTATAATCTATTCTCAGACCTAATGAATATACATATAAAATTTAAACAAAATCCGTCAAACCGTTTCGGAGGTGTATAAAAAGGAAACCTGTGACACGAGAATTTTATATATTGGATATACCTTACTCAATTAAAATTAAAAAACCTAGCTGAAATAAATTTGTCTAGAAATAAGAAAAAGGAAATACTATCGGGACTGCAACAGGAAAGGGTACTGCAAATGCTGGACCTGGGAGTGGCCGAGGAGGAAGTGGTGGTAATGGTTTTGGTACATCTTCTCTCTTACGACATCTGCATTTCTGATGACAACTTGAACAGTAAGAGAAGAACGACGGCGTACAAGTTGGCGCGCAAAGACAAGGCGGACATGGGGGACACTTTTTATGTTTTGGTCTTTTTATACAGAATTGAGGAGGCATCGCTGGAACGGCAATCTGAACTGGCATAGGTACCGGATATGGTATTGCTACAGCTATGTTTGATTCTGTGGTACTACCACTACTAGTTGTACTTGTGGTTGTTTGTTGTGTTGATATAATGTACCGAAGCGGTACAATTGAATTTATCATAGGTTCTGGTGGTGGAGTCATAATGTAGACAGGTGCTGGATACATCGGAAATGCTATCTGTACATCCCCATATATTATAGCAGAAAAGAGACATATCGCTGTAGTCCACTTATGTTTTAAAATCTGTAATGTAAATAATAAAAGGACATAGAAAAATAACTTATAAAAAGTCTGAATAAACGGCTATAATATAAAATAATAAAATGTAAACAATATTTGTGATATTACAGTTGATAGAATTGAAAACGGAGAATATGCATGTTATGGTAATTTCGAGTCTATATTTTTATGTTCAAATAATGGAGCTTTAAGCAATAACGATTTTAATCATCATGTTAAAACATTTAACAATGTTTATGCCGTGCGAGGAAGAAAACCCACGACCAATGGAAGTAAGGCGTTGTTCCAAACCACTAGATCACCGAGGGCATCAAACATATAATAACAATGACCTATCGGTTATTGCTATTATATTGTTATTTTTGCAATATTCATTCGGATTGAAAAATTACTGAAAAAATATGAAATAAGCTTGTTGAAAACATTCCAAGAATACAGACATATTCTTTTACTCTTATATCTAGTTGTCCTTTAACTTACAGTATACTTACAACAAACATGTTAGATACAATTTCAGTTTCAACAAATGTCAGTGCTTTAAATTTTTCTATAACCTTAAAACACTTTTATACGTTCGCTTTATTTATTGCGTAATGCATTTCATTGTAATTTTAAGGAAATAAAGGAAGTAAAATGTGTTTTTCTTCATATGATTGAAATTTTGAATGGCAAACAATTTGTTAATCTACTTGATGTGAAGTAACTAGCTCTGATCGCCTATATACGTGAACAAGAACCACGGACACACGTCATGATTCAATTTAATATAGTGATAACAAGGTGTTAGTAGTTTGAACAATGATATTGCTTTTTTATACCTTATTTGCCCCGTTTTTGTAGTATTTTTTATTGCAGCTCCGCTTCTATTAGTATGCCTATAGCCTACCTTGATAAATTGGCCATCCAACATTAAAAGCATACCCAATATCAGATCAGTGCAACCAGATTTTAATGTGAATTCACCTCGCTTTTAAAAATAAAAATAATAAGAAATTCAATTGAGTTTCTTGCCGGTTTTTCTCAATTGTATTATTTTTTATCTTACTTTGGACATGTGGAGGTTTAATGCCTGTTTCGGCCCATTTCAGAACTTTTTTTTTTTTATAACACAGGGGACAAACGAGCAAGCGGCTCACCTGATGGTAAGTGATTACCGCCGCCCATGAGCACCCGCAACACCAGGGAAATTGCAAGTACGTACTTTTAAAAAGGAATAAGCTCTTTTCTTGAAGGTTTCAATATCGTATCGGTTCGGAAATACCATTGCTGGCAGGTGATTCCATAATGTGGTTGTGCGAGAAGTTTCTAGAAAACCGCACTGTGGAAGACCGCCATTCATCCAGATGATCAGGATGGTATTTCATCTAGTATTTTATATGCTTGTCTCGAAAATTATTTTTAATTTTTGAGACAAGCATATGCGTCTATATAGATACATCATGTGGAGGTTGTATTCTGCTTCCGCATGGAATACAGTGTTAGTAGTTTGAACAATGATATTGCTTTTTTATACCTTATTTGCCCCGTTTTTGTAGTATTTTTTATTGCAGCTCCGTTTCTATTAGTATGCCTATAGCCTATACCTTGATAAATTGGCCATCCAACATTAAAAGCATACCCAATATCAGATCAGTGCAACCAGATTTTAATGTGAATTCACCTCGCTTTTAAAAATAAAAATAATAAGAAATTCAATTGAGCTTCTTGCTGGTTTTTCTCAATTGAATCTGTATAGTGAACTGGACGGTAGGGAAAAAATTATAATATAAAAAAATTGACGTTCATAAGCGGCTAAAATGTCGTACGTTGAATAAATGATTTTTGAATTTGAATTTCAATACTTGTAATTCAATATTCAGCATCTAATATCACTTTTAGATAAAGCTTTATTACTATTTGTATCTGTAATCTAGCATACTTCTTTAGATTTCGTTTCTTTTTCAACCGCGTTACTTCGTAGAGAATTAACATATCTGCAGTAAGTTTTACCTTAATTCGTACTCCATTAAAAGAGTTGCAGTTTCAATCATGAAAAAGAGACTTTCGATTAAGAAGAGTCAGTCTTTCCTCTACTATTTCTTTTCTTATACACTTTGTTACCAGCTCTAAATAGCACATAGATTTTAACACGAGATCGAACATGCTACCTTTTATTTTAAAGAATGAGACGACGTCGACAGAAATATCTAGTACTTCTAGAAATTAACATGACGCAACAAGTATAACTTCAATTTTATGACATAAATAATTTTAATAACTTTTAGGCATACAAAAAATTACAAATAATTTTACAATTAATAATATGATCCACAAACCGGGTAAGCCTCCCCAAGAGGTCGGCTCCTACCGACCGATAAGCCTTCTGCCTCTAGTATCAAAATTGTTTGAGAGGATCCTCTTGGGAAGAATGTCAGCTGTGCTCATGGATTCTATCATACCTGACCATCAGTTCGGGTTTAGACAGAGACATGGAACATTGGAGCAGGTACACAGGATATGTGATACAATAAGAAGGTCATTTGAACGGAAAGAGTATATTTCATCAGTTTTTCTTGATATCCAACAAGCATTTGACCGAGTCTGGCACAAGGGTCTCCTCTGCAAGATTAAATCACTTTTGCCTCATACATACTATAACATCTTGGAGTCTTACCTATCGGATAGACTATTCCAGGTCAAGGAAGGAGTTCACACATCAAAATTCCACCAAATATTAGCAGGGGTGCCTCAGGGATCTGTCTTGGGGCCTGTATTGTATACTATTTACACATCAGACTTACCACAATGCGAGGGTCTAACCATGGCCACATATGCTGATGACACTGCAGTTCTAGCTTGTAATATGTGCCCCAACCAAGCCTCACGAACCTTACAAAATGGCCTTAATCACATCAACCAGTGGCTCAAAAAATGGAAGATGGTTGCCAGCACATCCAAGTCGCTTCATGTGACATTCAGTTTGCGACCAGGAAATTGTCCAACGGTAACACTGAATAGTAAAACACTACCCCAAAGTGATACAGTGAAGTATCTTGGAATACACCTGGACCGCCGGATGACCTGGAGAAAGCACATACAAGTAAAAAGAGACCAAATAAACATAAAATACAAAGGGATGTATTGGTTGCTAGGCAGAAATTCAAAATTATCCCTTGACAACAAGCTTCTCCTCTACAACTCTGTATTGAAACCCATTTGGACCTATGGCATCCAATTGTGGGGTTCTGCTGCAAATTCAAGTATAAGCATAATACAAAGGGCACAAAATAACATCCTGAAACAGCTTATAAATGCGCCATGGTTTGCAAAAATATCCGAGGTTCATGAGTATGTCAACACAAACACAGTAGCCGAAGAGATAAAACACCACTACTCCAAGTTAGTACACCATCCTAATGTGCTGGCCAACAACTGATAGTCCCTGACAACATACGTCGGCTTAAAAGGCGTAGGCTACTGGAACCAGATGACTAATCAGGACCACCAAAAGAGACGATGATTCTGCTGGGAATCACTCTCTACCCGCGATGTAACACCTACACCACATCTGTTCATAGTCTCCGACTGATTGCAGGATAGACTCAGAAAAAAAAAAAAAAATTAATAATATACATTAATCGAATGTTATACTATTTGGAAAGATACTGATAAATTAGTTATCGTCTTATCAGCTGGTGGCTTAAAAATTATCTGCTTTTTACCCTCCCCTAAAACGTGTTTCGCTCCACCTTTTCTCATTACGACTTGTTTACGTTTGTGATCATCAGAATATGCATTATCTCCATCATGGGACACCACTACCAGTCTAGAATTTTCCGGTTCACTTTCGGATATTACATGAACTGTTTGCAGTTGTCTCCTTGAATTTGTATTCTTATTTTCCCCAATTAGTTGATCAGCTTCATACCTACTAAGACGTCTATTGTATTTAACATCGCCGTCCCTTGAAATATATGATAACATTGGTTTAACAATTTCATTGTCTTTAAATTCTGCCTCACCAACATCTAAATTTCTTCTATTTAATCGCCTTCGTATTCCTTTACGTCTCATATCAAGACGACTTCTGCGTCTGTCACACTCTGATGATGAGCTTGAACTCGAACTGCAGGAAGAGCTGCCACTGATATCTGGTAGTGGTGGTCTCCTAGGAGGCCGGATACATCTTGGGGGTTGTGGAGGTAAAGGCACAATAACAACTGGTGGAGGCGCAACTATAGGAGCTACAGGTAGTCCAAAACCTGGTCGTGGAAACATTGGAGACCGATAAGGAGGTGCGCATGTGGTTGTTATAGGTTCAGGACTTGGAAGTCTGCCAGACCAAGGAGGATGAGGCATCATGGGAATAGGCATTGCTATTGGCATTGCGTATACGGGAGGTGGATATATAGGTACTGCTATTTGTAAGTTGCTTGGTCTTATAATGATAAGAAGCCACAATGCCAGTATCGATTTCGTGATACCATGTTTTATGATCTGAAAGAGATACAAGTTATGTATCATACTTATATTACCAAATAATACGTACATTATGAAACGTATTAATAATATCTTTGACAATTCACATAGCGTCATCTAGTCTAAGATAAGCAATATTTCTGTTATAGGTACTAGACAACTGATATAAGTACTTATATACATTGTTTTAGTGAATACATATATAATATACATAGGAAACACCCAGACCAATACAAACAATCATACTCATGAATACAAATGTTTGGAAGGACTGTACAAGGAATCAAACTATCGATTATAGGAAGAAAGAAAGTATTCTAAACTTGACCAACAAGGTCGTCAAAAACGTACTATTTTATGAAGTTCTACAAATATGTAATATTAAACTTACAAAATTCATGTTGTGTACAGATTATGTTTCTAATAATCTCGGAAGTTACATGGTTGTTTAAGACTTTTATACATTCACATTATATGTTACATAAGTGGATCGCATTGTATATTGAGTGGCGGGAGCTGTAGGCAACAGAAACAAGTGGTTTCCATTTCGTAACGCAAATAATGCTCGATAAAATTTTACGACAATTGATTTTTATTTTGTTTGTTTTTGGTTGTTTTATATAATGTGAAGATAAGGAATTAAATTTAAAAGAATAGACATTGGAGTTTTCAGTAGGGGTCTCACAGTACCCGTTTACCTCCCTCGGGTTGGGTGTATCCCATAAGGGATTATCACCAAGTAAAAAAAAGAGCTGCGTAAAATTTGGAATATCATATCAAGATATTTATTTATGATGTTTATACTGAGGTGATGGAGTAATTATTCCATTTAGAGCTCTGTCATATTATTTAGTGACGATTTATGGTGACCTCGGTGGTCTAGTGGTCTAGCACACCGCTTTACGACCGATGGTCGCGGGTTCGATTCCTCGCACTGCACAAACATTTGTATTCATGAGTATGATTGTTGGTATCGGTCTGAGTGTTTTCTATATATAATATGTATGTATTTACGAAAAAAATTATCGATGTATTTGTATCAGTTATCTAGTGCCAATAACACAAGCTTTAGCTAGCTTAACTTGGGTCTAGATGGCGCTGTGTGAATTGTCCTGTGAGATGATTATTTAGTACCTGTACCTGTTGGATCTGGTGGCACTGTGTCATAAAACCTGTTACCTAAATGCCGTCTACACAAAGTTAGTAATTCATTTTATGGTAATTGCGTAAGATTCTATAATAAACTGCCAGAGTCTACGCTAAATCTTACAGAGAGGCAATTCAAATCTTATATTAAACAAATGTTATGTAAAAAAGCCTATTATAAGATAGATGAATTTATAGATGATAGCAATATATAGCAAGAATAAGTTTATTTGCGGACAACGTTATAATTTTAATTTTCATACTGCTTTCTTGATATATGATAGCGTAGCGGCTTTTGTATTGATTGCCGCATGCATCCTTATGTAAAGTGCGAATACTGTAACTACCATATAGTAATTTTTGTAGCTGTGACGTGGTCGTGTGGAATGAGTAGTCATGCTCACTAAAATGTCCAGACATGTGGCGGCGTGGTGGGCCGGTCAATGGGCTCCCTAAAATATGGTCGAGCGCAGTGATGGCTGGCTCATCCGTCATACTCGTGAACGAGTGCTGCTTGTAGGGACTGGTCTGCTCTTATCACTACGACTGATTTAATCTTATTGCATATTTATATTTGACCCAAAAATTAGTGCTTGTTGGTAGTTTGTATTCACACGTTTCGACTTGTAAATATAAACTTACAAGGATTATTTAAAAGAGCAACACACAAGTTTCTTGCTCGTTCTTCTTGTGATGAGACAGCTTTCCGAACGAGTGGTAGATAAAAAACAAATTGTTATGACTATTCAAAAGTGCTTAAATTAAGTTTATTTGAATAAATGATTTTCTATTCTATTCTATTCTAAAAACGAAAACCATAATTTACAAATTATATCTATATTTAGTATAAATATCTCTATCTCTATCAATAAATATCTATATTTAGTATAAATATCTATATTTAGTAGCTATGACAAATTTGGTACCCATAAGATTTCATAATTTGTAAATTATGGTTTTCGTTTTATGACACAGTGCCACCACATCCAGCAGGTAGCACACCGCTAGGCAGCGGGTCCCCTTGAACTACGAGTTTACTTAATAATGTGGTCATCGTTAATTATTTCATCTACTAAAGTGAAACATAATAGAAAATTATTTTTTTTGATAATTCTAATATGGTCTTTAACATGCTTGCACTTATTGCTAGGCGGCCTGTGGAAGGCTACTATAACGACATTTTTATAACCCTTCCAAGAACCAGGACTTATCCCCACGGACCTCAATTACAATTAAATAAAAATCAACAGAGATAGGAATAAAATTTTATTATTTACTACTTATGATAGGGTCTAACTCCAATATACGGGGGGTTGGCGAATGTTGGTGGGTTCATGACCCATTGCTAGCAATGTATCATGCCAGGTTGACCTCCACGCGGTTTCCACTGGAAACCATCGTGATAAATTCTTGGTGAATTTGTCACTATGGACTAACTGACCTGACCTCATGTTCACCTTATCATCCTTTACTGGTGCCCCGCCAGTGTAAAGCGTTGACGCAGGCGGGGGCACCATTTCATTATCGTCCAAAAAAAAACTCCAAAATACGGGGGGGGGGGGATTGTTAGTAATGTGGGTTCATAACCCATTGCTAGCAATGTATCATGCCAGGTTGACCTCGACGCGGTTCCCACTGGAAACCATCGTGATAAATTCTTGGTGAATTTGTCACGATGGGCTAACTATCCTGACCTCATGTTCGTCTTATCATCCTCCACTGGTGCCCCGCCAGTGTAAACCGTTAGCGCAGGCGGGTGGACCATTCCATTATCATCCATAATAAAAAAAAACTCCAATATACGGAGGATAAGAAGGTATTACATAAGGTATAAAACCAGGAATAAAAACAAGACTTGGCAATAACGTGATAATCGGTGCTGGACAGTAACATGGTGGGCATTTAGGACATCTATCAGGTGTCGTCATGTTCACCCAGTAAGCAGGACCGGTTAAAGCTGATATTGACAAAGATGGCGATGGCAGTATGTTAAATGGATACGCTGGCATTACGAGTTCTGCATTACTGCATTGTATAATAAATAAGATGTGTAGACACGTGGCAAATGTATTTGTTTTATTGAAAATCTGCAATATAAATAAATAATAAAATTAATAATATAATAAGTCATAACATTAAATACCTGTCGCATAACCCGAAAATTCTTAACCTCCTCAACAATATCTTCACCCAGCACAACCTCTCCCACACTTGGCTAAGGCCCGTGTAGGTGAGTATTACCTTCTTTTAAATGTATAAAAGAAGAGAAAGAAAGAAAAAAAATATAATATAATTTATTCATAAATGTACGGTACAATTAAATATAGTTAGCCCTGTAATAAATAAGTGTTGTTCAAACAGTAAAAAAGTGTGAAAAATAGTAGAGTGGCGAAATCGTTGGGAGGCATTAATGTAAGGACTTCAAATCCAATTGTCTCAGTAAAATCATATGCTTATAAGGTTTGGGACAATTTTATCATAGTATATGTAGTGGCGCTTTTTTGATATGCAATGCAAGGAAATGAATTAATGACAATAAAATGTTGAAAAACAAACTAACACTCCAATTCTTAGGTCTTACTTTGAACATGTGGAGGTTTAATGCCTGTTTCGGCCCATTTCAGAACATCTTTTTTTTTTATAACACGGAACAAACGAGCATGCGGCTCACCTGATGGTAAGTGATTACCGCCGCCCATGAGCACCCGCAACACCAGGGGAATTGCAAGTACGTTGTCGGCCTTTTAAAAAGGAATAAGCTCTTTTCTTGACGGTTTCAATATCGTATCGGTTCGGAAATAACGTTGCTGGAAGGTGATTCCACAATGTGGTTGTGCGAGGCAAAAAGTTTCTAGAAAACCGCACTGTGGAAGACCGCCATTCATCCAGATGATCAGGATGGTATTTCATCTAGTATTTTATATGCTTGTCTCGAAAATTATTTTTAATTTTTGAGACAAGCATATGCGTCTATATAGATACATCATGTGGCGGTTGTATTCTGCTTCCGCATGGAATACATGGATTGCTAAGAAGTTCGTCTGTTTATCCTAATTTATTGGACGGTTTTGATGTATCTTTATATTCATGTCAAATTTGTTTAATATCTGAAATATAATTATTGAACTCCCAAGTTTCTTACTCATTTTTAAATTAAATATAACTTCATTAAATTTGAACATCTTGACATTAATTCTATGAAATCAGTGCACATATCCATGCATATGACTTATGTACTTGTATATTGCCAACTGTACTATTATATTTTGTGATATTGTGTATGAAAAATGTGAAATAGTTTATATTTTATTACTAACATTTTATAAGACGCTTGCAATTGATCAAGATACTTACTCTTACTTACCTATACAGTAGATATTGTTTGGATTACATTGTAAAAATATTGTCTAATTGAAATTAAGAAATTTTTTAACAACATTACATTTTTTATTTGCACATTAACTTATTTTCTGCTGACTAGATGTACCGCAGTGCTGCTCGGGTGGAAACGTGTGTTACTCGTTGATGATGTGATTTTTTTAGGTGAATTAATAGTTCAAATTTATCAGATTTTCTGAGTTAGATATAAATCTTTCCTGTTTATAATATCAGAATATATTTTCAGTTTACAAAGTATACAAGAAATATAATTTTCTATATTGTCATATACTGGAACATTCTACTCCTTATGGTAAATATGAATGGGAAATCAACAAGGAGAAGTTCACAAAAAATATAAAATCTGACAAATAATAACTAATAACAAAAACTACATAACTATAAGAATGTACATATTTTTTTATTTACAAACAAAATATTTTGTAGATCGTGAAAAAGTACAAAAAAATATTTGGTATTTTTCTTAAGTTTACTTATCTATTTCTAATTATTAGCTTTTTTTCATAATATTAACTTTTCGCTGAGCATGCTTCTTAGGAATACGCGTTGTTAACACAACGGCTCCTTCTTTGCTGTTCTTAGCCTTCTGTTCTTCATCAGCGTCTTCGTCATCATTACTATCTGGTTCATTTTCTTCATTTTTATTAACATTATTCAGAGTTGTTTTCTTTACTTTCAACCAATCTTTTGCTTCATTTTTTGTTATTGTCTTCTCAAATATCACGTACCCATCCTTCGTTACGTATTGTAGGATCGGCGTAAGTAAATCTTTTTTGGTATGTTTCTTTCTTCGAGGTTTATGTCGCTTGTTAAATCTTCTACCGTTTCGTCTCCAACCTTTTCCTTTCCACCAACCACCACCATCTGAGGACGTATCATGGGACGTATCAAAAGATGTGTCGGTATCAGTTCCCGTGTCACTGCTAATGTCAGTGTCAGAATAGAAAGGTCTTCTTGTTTGGATTTCTACTATTCTTCTAGGTGGATGATGTCTAGGAGATTTTTGGTAGGAACGATCAGGCGAATAGAACGGCATTACTATGACGGGTAGTTTCTGGGCAGGTCCTGGTGCTACTACGGGCATTGCAGACATTGGCCCTGGAACTGCTAGAGACATAGGCATTGGCACAGGAGCTCCTTCCTTCCCTGCTGGAAAATATGGTCCAGGGGGAGGAAACACTGGAGGAAAAGGTGGTGAAAGTGGAAAAGGTGGCATTGTACCGCTCAACATATTCTCAGGGTAAGTAGGATAGTTTGCGTGGCGAGGCATTCTGCAATGCATCGGTAGGTCTTGCGGGAAATATTCTACGTTGGTCGGACATGGTGGGAGCTCAGGTTCCTTGCCAAGAACCAACGCTGCAATGCCAAGGACCACGAGGCTTAGATCCTTGAACATTTATACCTGTAAAAGAACGTAATGTCACTTATGCAAATTTTCGAAAAGTTATCTCATTAGACCTTATACCATTTGAAATTATTATATATTGCATTCTATTGTTTATTTTCATCAATAATATAAGAAAATAAATACATACATCTTATTTTCTTGCAGTTAGTATTTATTATCAATATATTTTAGCAGATTATCTAGTGATGGTAGATGAACTCCTAATACAAACTGACTTTAACATCATTGCACTCCAGTCATCGTCTGACAAGGATCAGTGCAATGTAGTCGAAACGTTGATTTACTAATTGATAATGGATGGATGTTTGCAACGGGTAAAAAGGTTACTGGTTTTGTTCTAATGATATTTTATACACATATTCTACATTAACTAGGATATTTGTTACCTACTAGCGAGTGAGTCTGAGACACATTTAATGTTACCTTTAATTAGGGGAAAATAGCATCTACGTTTAAAAATGTAATAATAATGTTTTTTACTGAATTCTATATTGCAATTTTACTCTGCGTTCCGAATCAGTGGTAGAAGTAAAAGTATGTACTATTTCTTTAATGAAATGAAATGAAAATTCTTTATTGTTCTCTCTTAGTATCCAAACAAACATTTATATACATTATTAATATATAAATAAGTATAAATATACAACATTCTCAAAAGGAAGAGGCAACAATGGGCGGCCTTATCGCTGAAAATCGATTTCTTCCAGGCAACCTTAGGATGGAGAGGAGTAATTGACTTGAGTCTGGTCGAGGTGTAACAATAATAAATAGTGAGAAGTTATATTAAAATACCTACATATATATATACAAGTTACATATTTCGAATACACACATATAATTATAAAATATATAAATATATACATCATCATTGCCTTGCCTTTATCCCACTATTTGTGGTCGGCGCAGTATGTCATTCTCTTCCACTGCTCTCTATCGGTCGTCATATCTGAACATACTCTTCTTTTATTCATATCATCTTTCTCACAATCCATCCATCTTTTCTTAGGGCGTCCCCTTCCTTTACATCCACATATATATACAAAGACATACAATTACGATATTACTATGACGGTAACTTACAGTAGTAGAGGTTTCTAATTCGTGATTTGAAATTCGGCAAAGATGTTATGCTTCGAATATATACTGGTAGTTTGTTCCTAAGACGAACAGCCAATTTTAATATATTAATATACTAGCTGTCTCGACAAACGTTGTTTTGCCTTAAAATAAAATTAAAAAATTAGGGGTGGACTACCCCTAACATTTAGGGGGATGAAAAATAGATGTTGACCGATTCTCAGACCTACTCAATACGCTCACAAAATTTCATGAGAATCGGTCAAGCCATTTCGGAGGAGTATGGGAACGAAAACTGTGACATAAGAATTTTATATATAAAATTATGTTCATTTGATTAAAATAACTATTTACCTCTAACTGTAGCTACGATGGATTCAGGAAACCGAATAACGACAGTAGAGGTACTGCAAGCCTTTATGTAAACTAAATATAACAGGTGCTTCTAAATACAATAGCCCGTACGTATATCGTTCACTACAATGCCAGTTTTATGTAATCTCTATACGTTACTACATTGAATTTCATTGTTTCAATATTATATACATGTGTTAAATGATGTATCTATTGATACAATTATTTCTATTAGTGTAATCATCATCATTATTGCCTTGCCTTTATCTCATTATTTGGTGCAGTATGTCATTCTCTTCCACTACTCTCTATCATGTCATATCTGAGCATACCCTTCTTTTGAAATGAGTAGTCATGCTCACTAAAATGTCCAGACATGTGGCGGCGTATTGGGCCGGGTCTTTGGGCTCCCTAAAATATGGTCGAGCGCAGTGATGGCTGGCTCATCCGTCACACTCGTGAATGCTGCTTGTAGAGACTGGTCTGCTCTTATCAATACGACTGATTTAATCTTATTGTATATTTATATTTGACCTTAATAAATTAGTGCTGGTTGGTAGTTTGTATTCACACGTTTCGACTTGTAATGTAAACTTACACGGATTATTTAAAAGAGCAACACACAAGTTTCTTGCTCGTTCTTCTTGTGATGAGACAGCTTTCCAAACGAGCGGTAGATTGACTATTCAAAAGTGCTTAAATTAAGTTTATTTGAATAAATGATTTTCTATTCTATTCTATTCTTTTATTCATATCATCTTTCACACAATCCGTCCATCCTTTCTTAGGGCGTCCATTCACTTTCTATAATATTTCAATAAAATATGCTTTGTAATATTTAACACCATCAAACTTTTTACATTTTGCGTTACGAAATGAAGTACCTAATTAGGTGAATGGTTATATACTAGTCCATTGTTAAGCATACACGGGTAGCTATATAATATCATCAGGCAACCAATTTTGAGAGTCATTCTCTAAGAATATTGTTGCAGTTAACATGTTTAGTATTAGAAATTAATGCAAGGTATTAATTTAAAATTTTGTTGTACTACATACTACATTTTACGCTTTTTATATTGGTGTCTCTACAAACATACAAACACAGGCATTGTCGCATAGCAGAATCCATAAGTGTAACCATTTCAGTATATATGTAAAATTTGTTTGTTTCTTCTATATTTCCATTATATATATACATATTTTATTTAAGTTAGTAGTATATGCTATTTATTTCTATTTCTATTGCACTGAATAAAAACCTTTCTTTCATTTTTTTAACGGCTATACAGTCCCTATTGGTATCAATTATACACTGTTATACTATACACATGCAGATAAAACGTATCTGCCGAGATTCCGAGTTTGTTCAAACCCCTAGCGGTGCCCTCAGGCTAAAGTCGTGTCCGTCAGGCGGGAGTTCTTTCAGCCGCTTCATAAGTTCTTTCACAGGTTTGGAGTGCCATCTGCACTCGCCGTCCATCGTTCTGTAAAGCTGTAAAGCTGTAGGCATTAGAGTAGTCCGGAAAAAAGATAAAAAATAAAATAAAACGTATCTGAGTCATGCTGTAATTGTCTCCCAAATTAAATTAAAACTTATATATTTATTTGTATTTGTATAAATAAACATTTATTGGAATGGGAAGTAACATTTCAGGCTCCAGTTGTATAAGGAGCTACTACTGTCACTCAATAAGTATTCCTTCATAAAGACTTCATAATTTTATGTCTCTACATTGGTTGGCACCAATGCAGGACTATGGTCAGTCTTCTCATCTATCTATGCTAATTCTACTCTATTATTTTTATGTTTATAATAATGTTATTATGTTACTTTCAGATGTCCAATCCTCATTTAATATTACACACGTTAGTAGTGTTACATTTTTGCCTAAATGTACTATCACAATTTCCACCTGCTCCGTTCCCATACCCTGGACCACAAGGAACAGATATAGGTGGCCCAATGCCACCAATGGGACCAATGGGACCTGTGTCTATGGGGCAGATGGGTCCTGTACCAATGATGCCAATACCACCATCTATTCCAGCAATGCCACACCGGAAATTGCCTGTCGTCGTGATGCCATACTATTCCAAACTAGCTGATAAGAAAAGACACATGAAGGTCCATAGGAAAAGGAGACTGGGTCGTAAGAGATTGGAGTATGACTCCTCTTCAGAGGACAGCGATTCAAATGATTCTTCAAACGATTTTGATTTCCGGACTACTAAACGTGGAGCCATGCACAGAGGGAAAAAGAGGCAAGTGTTAACTCCTGTCGTGTCGTACGTAACTAAAGATGGATATGTCGTCTACCAGAAGAAAATAAAGAAGGAAAAAGCTAAAGATTGGCTAGAAATCGGTAAGAAGAATAATCGTTTTCATGATAGCATTGAAAAAGAAGACGACAGTGAAGGAATACAGTTGAGTGACTTGAAGAATAAAATTAGATTTTCCAAAAAGAGCAGAACAGCACGTTAATGTTTTATAAGTTGTTATTTTATACTAAAATTTTTTTTTTTAATATTTAATACATTTTATTAACAATTGAGTTTTTCTTTTATCTTTCTCCCGTTCAGGATCTTAATAGTTTTTTTTAATGTTTTTTTTAAATTAATTAAAAAATAATGGTATTAAATACAAATGAATAAAAATACATTGTTATAATGTAAGACATATCTTTTTTACATAACTGTACTGTCCAGTTGGGCTAGTTACTTGCATCTCTAGGCTAAAAGGTCTTCTAAAATCTAGTAAGAAACACAACGGGTACATCTTTTATGTTTTTAAATCAGTGTATCATAATCTTTAAAGACAGAGCTTACTAGTTCTATCTCCCGGCGTTGCCTGATATGATGATTCTATATGTAGTTTCTATTCCTATTAATAGGATAAGCATGATGGAACAAGAAAAATACAAACTATCATATCTAACGTTTGTCGATAAAGTATTAGATTTACGAACAGTAAATTGTTCAAACCAAATGTTCTAAATGCCACTGCCCCCATTCCGGAAGGGTTGGTACCGAGGGGCAGAAGAGAAACCCATCACCCAACATTTATTATTACATACTAGCTACCTACCCCTGCTTCGCACGGGTGTACATGTATTTTACATATAAACCTTCCTCCAGAATCACTCTATCTATTAAAAAGAAACCGCTTCAAAATCCGTTGCGTAGTTTTAAAGATTTAAGGACGACGAAGGATCACAGGAACGGACAGACAGCGATCACGACTTTCTTTTATACTATGTAGTGATTTAGTAAAAAAATTGTTTTGTCCTTAATGTATTTACGTTACCTGCTTACTGGCATACACAAGTAAAAAAATGTATTAATATTCCAACGTTTAAAAAAAAAGTGGTAGTGATTGCATCCGATGTATTGGTACTAATCGGTATGTATATAAAATCACACTGAACTTGAATGGCCACAGAATGGTTTAGTCGCTCAATCTGAGCAAATGTACCTACATTCTGAATTGTCTATAAGCAAAATGCTTACATAAACATAAATGCCTTCACGACAAAGTTTTGAAATGGTAAGTGTGTGCTTACACTTGTAATATTTTGACGGCCTCGGTGGTCTAGCGGTCAAGCACACCGCTTTACGACCGATGGTCGCGGGTTCGATTCCTCGCACGGCACAAACACTTGTATTCATGAGTATGATTGTTTGTATCGGTCTGGGTGTTTTCTATGTATAATATGTATGTATTTACAAAAAAAAAATATCTATGTATATGTATCAGTTATATAGTACCCATAACACAAGCTCTAGCTAGCTTAACTTGGGTTTAGATGGCTCTGTGTGAATTGTCCTGAGATTATTATTATTATTATTATTTCTGTCGAAACTTGAGACCCTTCCGTTAGTTTACGTCCCCACTAACATAAATTTAAGTTAGGTGTAAAATCAGTCTACGTCCCGACTCCATGTCGTATGAACGCGTTCTTAATAAACCATGTAGCACATTACCAATAAACTTAATAATGTCTAACAAGTAATAGTGCAATCATTTTTCCGGTGCACTCACTACCTACATACTACAATAAATAATATATTATGTAACGCCACCTCATCACAACATATATAACGCTACAGTCATGAGGATAGCACCACGCTACAGGTGTATCTATAGGCAATTTGGTACTCTAATTATTAATATAAAATGTAAATTTAATTTTAAAAATTATTTTCAGTGTAGCAAATATACAATTTTCTTTCTTTCTTTCTTTCAATTTGTAGGAAAAAATAACAGTGGCGTTCAAAACAGTCCTAATATGGTACATAGCTAGCAATGAGGCACCGGTTCCCCTTTATTAATGCCCTCATCTTTAATGAATTTACAGATTGTAATTACTTTTTTCCAGATCATGAAGATTTTATTTATAATTTTAACTATTATTATAATAAGCGTATCATCGAGTAAAAGATATAAGAGCTACGATGTTTATGACTCCCTACGGCACTGGAATATGGAGGTGGATCCCCAACAGCAATACTGGCGCTGGATGACTGGTTACAATCAAAATGATTCGAAGCATTTTTCACCTCTGTTCTTTACTGGATGAACAGCCGAATGTCTTATTTTAAAATTGTTTTTCTTAAGTAATATGTACTCATGATTTCAATTTTTATCATCTATATATTTTATATATAACCTATATGACATGGGTGAAGCGATTATAGTTAGTTGCTAGCAATGGAGTCTTTAGGTTTTAGTAGGTACTTTGTCTCGTTGACCTCCATGCGGTCCCGCCTAAAAATTTTCCTGGCTAATTCCTAGTGAATTCATTCTCTTATAATCCTTCACTGGTGTCCCAATAAATAAATATAAGAGCTATAAATTATTTTTAAACAACGTAGTTTCATTCCTTTATCCAATTATCGTCATATTAAAATTGTAATGAATTACATTTTAAATATATTATTTTCACTCCTGTAACTCATTATTTGCTTCTTCCTTATCCTATTTATTTGAGGTGTTATTCTCTTCCATAAAAATTGACAAATATAATTATTATTATACATGCATTATAACACAATAGCGACCTCTATCGGTAGAAATAATCGGCCGTGTTGTCATTCATCTGTCAATTCTTTATTGTCCTTCAACTGACATCACTTGTCAATCATTCATTCAAATTTCATTCCATTCATAAAATTATCGTCCTCGCCTCCCACTTCCTCTCATCTCCTCACTTCCTCATTCCCCTCAGAATTCCTTGGTCATTATCATGCATTTGTCGGGTCTACTTATTTTTTAAAATGTCAAGTTTTAGTATTGTTTAATGTTTATAACACGTAATGTCCGAAATGCCTGTAAGATGCAAACAGTGAGATCGATCTTCGAAGTTCGTTGGTGATGATGTGTTGTGGTTACAGTGTTTTGTGTTGATGTAGTAGGTTTATCACGAAGGAATTTACTGCAGTGTCTCTGATAACGGTCACTATGGACCAAGACTGGAAGAAGAGTTTGGGATTCCCTGTCAACTACAACAGCCAAAGTTCTGATGACGATTTGTAAGTGTAATATTATAGATTACTTATGAAATAAATAGTATTTACATCTGTAAACATAGTTGGTAGCGCGTATTTTTGAAGGACGTAAGTCAAAGGTCACAGACGGCGTCTGTGTATTTTTCTTTTGGAATTTGGACGTAAAACCCAAGCTCATAAGCTCACAAACTATAAAAAACCGCGACACAAGTTTTTTTTAATTTATTAGACATAGACATTAAAGACATTTTTCCTGTTATATTGAGTTTCTTATAGTCGACTTATTTTACGACATGCTATGCTCGCGACTTTTTTTTTCTTTTTTTTTTGCTTTTATCAAGTTAGGGAAATGTATACAGAGGTATAAGAAATGGAATGGAATTATTCTTTTGTAGAGAGGTGACAGTACAAATCAACTGTGATGACTGAGCTATCATCACCTACCTATTTAGTTTAATTACACATATATTTATACCAATTCCTTGAGGAGTCAACAGCAACCATATAGCATCCACCAACATATTAATTCATTGGATAGAATTGAATTATATTTTTTAAAATATTGTATAAAGTTGATCAGCATCATTGGCAGGAAATTATTCATAATGAAAAGTAATTTAGATTTTGTCTATAGTATTGCAATAAATTATCTTTTGTTATTTAAGTATATACAGAATCTGAATTTATTAATTATTTGTACTTTTGGAACTAATTATCTATAGTTCTATGATCTATGAATGTAAATAAAATTGGTGTGTCTGTGTGTAATATTGAAATAACCGTTTTTTACTACATGCATATGAATATAAATACGGTACACACACCAAAACAACATTTTTTAAAATTTTTGTCTGCCTCTCTGTTTGTTCCGCCTAATCTCTGAAATGGCTGGACCGAGTTTGACAGGACTTTTTTTGGCAGGTAGCTGATGTAATAAGGAGTAACTTAGGGTACTTTTGTTTTAGAAAAATAGAGTTAATTCCATGCTGACGAACGCGGGAACAGCTAGTTAGCAATATAACTCCTTCTTTCTCCCTACATCATTCCCACTCTTCTTTGTGGTTCGAGGAGTTATTTCAGTAGGCACACATATCTTACAGTAGCGGTTTCCACTAATTAAGTGGTATATGGATCATTAATGGTTCCCATAGCTGAATTTTGGTCCACCAATGATATGAAATTTCAAACTAATATATAATGTGTTTTAAATCCTAATTAAATTCAAGCAATGTTAATTATAGATATGTGGAAAGAAAAAATGTAATCCATCACATTTTAATTAAGGATTTTGATTAATTATTATTATATTAATATAATATAAAATAAATAAACCATTATTATATTATGTTGGTTTGTATTTATATACTAGCTGTACCTGCTACTTCGTTCGCGTGGAATTTAACTTTATTTTTCTAAAATATACAGACACAGACACAGACAGACTGATAAAAATTGTAAATATCATTTTGGTGTATGTACCATATTTATATTTTTTTATATGCATGTAGTAAGAACCCGTTACATCAATACCACAAACAGACACTCCGATTTTATTTATATGTATAGATAAATATATTTATATAATTAACTAGAGAATAATGGATGGTGTTAAGTCTGCTAAATGTACCGTTACCGTTTGTATTGTGAGTATTGAATTTAAAGAAATTAATAGAACAAACATTATATAAAATAAAATGTATCAGTTTCTTAATTTTTCACAACTGTCAGAATCGATTTTAGAGTAGAGTATTTAAAGTAGAAGTAGTCGATTTTAAAGTAGAGTATTTTGAGTATTTTGAGGTGAAAATATTGTGTGATTGAATTGATCAAATGTCACCAGTAGAGTAAAATTTTTTATCTTAATAAAAACCACACAGTCTGTTGAAAACAACAGGCTGTTGATATATTACTTTTTTAAAATAAACCATAACAAAATATCTTCATTCATGTAGGTCTATTACAGACTTATGGTACTTACATCAAAAAAATAATGTTGTAAATAAACTATAGATTTGAGATAACAGATCCTATGTATAGTTCTGTTATACATAGGTTCTTTTATCTGAAATTTTAGTTCCTGCTATTAACAAGGATATAGATTGTCAGGGAGAAATAAAGATGTGGAAGGACTAATGAAGAGAGTGTAGTTTTTATAATAGTTTTTGTAGAAGTTTTTATGCAGATAACTGAAGCTTAATTTTAAATTTTGGTTCTTGCTACCAACAAGGATATAGCAACGAGATTTTGATATATATAGTCAAACAGAAGTAAAGATGTAAAATCACTGTTCATGATGCAGTTTCATCATAACTGCAGACAGTTTCAGTAATCATGGCAATTGTACGAAAATGTATTGTTAAATGTAGATAACTGAAGTTTAATCTTAAATTTTGGTTCCTGCAATCAATAAAAATATAGCTTATCAAAGAGAAATAAAGACACTGTTCAAGAGAGTGTAGCTTTAATACTAGTTTTTGAGGATGTTTCTATGCTGTTTCACTATAACTGCGAACAGTTTCAGCAATCATGGCAATTGGATGAAATGTATTGTTAAATGTATATAACTGAAGCTTAATCTTAAATTTTGGTTCCTGCTATAAATAAGAATATAGCTTGTCAAAGAGAAATAAAGAATCACTGTTCAAGTTCAAGAGATTTTGAAAGAGTTTTTGATATTGTCAAAGAGAAGTAAAGGTGTAAAATCACTGTTCAAGACAGTGTTATTATATTATTATAATAACACTCTCTTGAACTCTCTCTAATATATGTTATTACTAATTTTTGCCCGCGGCTTCGCTCGCGTTAAGAAGTATTATTGTTAGGTATAGTTTTTGCGGCTTTACAGTAATTTCGTTCAAACTTTCATCACCTATGTTATTCTCTTAGGGGTGGAATTTATCAAAATCCTTTCTTAGCGGATGCCTACGTCATAACGTCTACCTGCATGCCAAATTTCAGCCCGATCCGTCTAGTGGTTTGGGCTGTGCGTTGATAGATCACTATGTCAGTCACCTTTGAGTTATATATATATTTAGATTATTTATACCAAGTTTTTATGCAGTTTCACCATAACTGCAGACAGTTTCAGTAATCATGGCAATTGTACGAAAATGTATTGTTAAATGCAGATAACTGAAGCCTGTTACATTATTAGTGGACCACTCAACACTATCAGTAATGCCAATCACAGTATCTACTTATTATTGACTCGTAACATGTCCCTCTCATTGATAACAGATAATATGCTTTATGAGGATACCGTAACACTATACTGTAATCATATTAGGGTAAATTTAGAATAGAGTTGTTATATATATATATATATATATCTATATTCTATATATATATATAAAATTGGAGTGTCTGTTTGTAATATTGAAATATTGGTTTTTTACTACATGCATATGAATATAAATACGGTACATACACCAATATAACATTTTTCACAGTTTTGTCTGTCTGTTTGTTCCGGTTAATCTCTGAAATAGCTGAACCGATTTTGATGGGATTTTTAATGGTAGGTGGCGCGCACGAAATCGCGAGTACAGATAGTAGTATGAATGAAATATGTCAAAGGTTTTTTGAAGTTGTAGTTACACAATCAATTTCTGGACGCACCCTGTTCGACAGGTATCAGCCGTTTGTATGGGAATATATAATTGTTGTTTTTAGTATTCTACATGCAATTTCTTCATATTTTATCACCGTTTACTTTCACTTCCACGAATATTTCAAGACTTATTACAATTAACTAAATCGATTCAGCCATTCTCGAATTTTATTGAGAGTAACGAACAGCAATTCATCTATATATATATTCTTTTTTTGTTATAAATAAATACATATTATACATATAGAAAACACCCAGATCGATACAAACAATCATACTCATGAATACAAATGTTTGTACCGTGCGAGGAATCGAACTCGCAACCATCGGAAGTAAAGCGGTGTGCTAAACCACTATACCACCGAGTCCGTCAATATATTAATATAAGTATATATGTAATAGATATTTAATAAACAGTTTTTATGTATTGATAATAATAATATCTGCTTGCTACAACTAAAATGGACGTGAATAAGTCGGTCAGACCACAGAACACAGAAGAGTCAGGAGTTCATTGTCCTAAATTATAGATTACTAGCTATTCGCCCCGGCTTCGCTCGGGTGTACATGTATTATACATATAAACCTTCCTCTTGAATCACTCTTCACACAGTGCGATCTAGACACAAGTTAAGCTAGCTAAAGTTTGTGTTATGTGTACTAGACAACTGATATTAATATATATTAATATGTCAATTTTTGTCTGTCTGTCTGTTAAATCTTTTAAAAAAGACCGCTACAAAATCCGTTGCGTAGTTTTAAAGATTTAAGCATAGGTACACAGGGTTAGGGACAGACAGCGACAGCGACTTTGTTTTATAGTATCTAATGATACATGATCCGCAAACGTTATTTCGCTGTATAAATCAATATCACTAAAAATAGAGTTTAATAGTAGAAGGATGTAAATTAGGGCTGTGTTTTGTTTTTATGTATGACTGGATGTACCCGCTACTTTGTCCGCGTGGAATTTAACTTTATTTTTCTAAAATAAAAGTAGCCTCAGTTACTCCTTATTACATCAGCTACCAGCCAATAAAAGTCCGATCAAAATCGGTCCAGCCATTTCAGAGATTAGCCGGAACAAACAGACAGACAGACAAAAATTGTAATAAATGTTATTTTGGTGTATGTACCGTATTTATATTCATATGCATGTAGTAAAAATCTGTTATTTCAACATTTCAATTTTATTTAAGTATATGTGTAGATATCTAATAAATTTAAATACAAGCTGATCCCGCAACTTCGCATACGTTGTCGGTAATTTGAAGAGAATAATTCAAGTCATACAGACAGAGGCACAATGTTATTTATGATTAGTTTTGTCTCCAGTTGGGTGCACGCAATATGTATAGAAATGATGTAATATTTATATACTAACTGTTGCAGATTATTTTCCTCTCGTTTTAAATGACACGTGCTTATCTAGTTCTAAAAGAGATGGCCGTAATTGATTATTTTATCTCTCTAGATAAAACAAAGCAGCCGCCACTTATATCTTTTAAATTGCGCAACGGATTTTAATGTAGTTTTCAGTAATAGATAGAGTGATTCCAGAGGAAGCTTTATATGTATTTTCGAACTACTCTAATACTGGCCGCAGCTGGCCTTTACAGCTTCACTGGACGATATACGATCGTCTGCACCGGCGAGTGCAGATGACTCTCCAAACCAAAGGAAGGACTTATGGAGTGGCTGAAGGCCAACTCCCGCCTGACAGATACGACTAGTCTGAGGGCACCGCTATGGGTTCGAACCTCAGCTCAGTCCGTCGTAATATCGGTCCCCGTTTGAATTGGACGGGGGTTGATCGGAGGGGATGTCTAATACATGCGTGTTATAGTATAGAACAAGCCGGGAAATTCAAAGATTTGTAATGCGAAGCCGGGACGAGTTGCTAGTATACATGTTGTAACTTCTGTAGACCTTTTATTGTTGATCACCTTCCAGCAATGGTATTTCCGATCCGATATGATATTGAAACATTTAAGAAAAGAGCTTATTCCTTTTTAAATGGCCGACATCGTACTTGCAATTCCCCTGGTGTTGCGGGTGCTCATGGGCGGCGGTAATCACTTACCATCAGGTGAGCCGCATGCTTGTTTGTCCCCTGTGTTATAAAAAAAAGAAAAGATCACCTTCCAGCAATGGTATTTCCGAACCGATACGATATTGAAATCTTCAAGAAAAGTGCTTATTCCTTTTTAAAAGGCCGACAACGTACTTGCAATTCCCCTGGTATTGCGGGTGCTCATGGGCGTCGGTAATCGCTTACCATTAGGTGAGCCGCATGCTCGTTTGTCCCCTGTGTTATAAAAAAAAAAAAGATTCTTGTTTGTTACCCTTCAATTCTGTTGTCAATACTGTCCAAATATATATATTTGTATGTATACCAAGTCTTTATTCCTTTTACCTATATATACAAATATACTAAAACATACAACACCTATGTATGTGTGTACAATAAAGTATAAATTTTAGAACAATATAACTTATACATCAGGCTACAAATTTCACGCGCATGAACTGCGATGCGATTCGACGACCGATTTCGCTAAATCGTTTTTGGTTGTGTTCGTTATTATCAGGAGCAGTTTCTTGTGAAAGCAAAACTAAGAAAGTTCCGCGGAATTTAGAACATTTAGTAAGATCATTGCATTTTCTTTAATGTGTTCTGTAATATTTATAGCTAAGACGGTCCGTCTGGTCAGCTAGTATTATAACGAAATCTATTTTAAAATTGTCTGTGGTCAGTAGATGTTGGCATTTGTATACAAAATGTTGAATAGTTTAAAACACACAATGCCCTGTAATTCGGTAACCTTGACTGCCTGATAATTGGAAGGTTTGGCCGTTTACTCAGTAAGTAGTTAGGTATTTGGAGTGTAAAATTGTGCGTAACAAAATGCCGAAATTCAAATTCAGAATCAACTCGTCAATGTTCGTAAACTCAGAGTCTAAATCTAATTAATCTGCAACATACAATTGAAACCATAAATTTAAATACCAATTTGGAATATAAAATACATTTCTTATTAGCCAGTACAACAATAGGAACAAACAAACAATCATACAATAAATGTAATGTCTAAGGGTGAGCTTATATCTAATAAGAGTTTACTTCCTGCAATCTTAGAAAATGTTATAGGATAGTGTGTTTACTAGATTAGCTATACATAATACATACACAATCATATACAATACCATCTTTACCACAAGGGCACACGGGGCCCGTGCCCAGGGCCCTCATTCTCAGGGGGCCCCTGCAGGACTGACAAATTTTCTCACACATTTATTCTCAAAAGATTTAAGTAATGTTATCAGAAGGTTATCACAAGGCATATACTACGCCATTATACCGATTACTTCGCCTATTCCTATGTTTTTATAACAATATAAAATATTATTTCTTCTTATAACTTAGGATAATATACTGTAGCCTAAGGTCTGACTTGGCCAGTTCTCATATACCAATTATTACTTTCGATTGCTAGTTACTACTAATAATAAAATAGGAACCGACAAGTAACATGTTTAGAACTTGCGAAGGCTACAGTATATTTCGTATATGACGATATTTGGACGTTAATATCTAAATAACCGTTTGAGATATGTTTATGAAATTTGGAACACATATTTATCTCGCAAGTCTCAACCAAATTTGAACCAAATTTGACAGGTTTATGTGAAAGAGTTTTTGAGTTATGAGGGGGTCAAAAGTGGCTCCAAATGGTTCGTGTAAATATACATACGGTGCTGCTCGCCAGTTATCTTACTTGAAACTCGGCTTGACACGCTACCGCGTGTCTATAGTTTCCATCGACAACATTGTATTGTCCCGCAATTCTGACCTTTGATTAGAAATTTGTTGATTTAATCAAAATATTTGACCAAATAAGCCCTGATAACTTGTTTGTTGGTAGGTACTAAACATATGACATCAATAAGTCTATTTTTATCTAAAGATTATGGAAATTATGCAACGATAAATATAATGTAGGAAACATTGAAATACGATAATATTTATATACATTAAGATTCGTACGTCGTAGTCTAGTCGGTGAACTGTCAACACCAGGCTTCCAAGCCATTATTGCTATAAGTAAGTACACAATTGCTACAAGCGATAAGTAGCTATGACGTGGTCTAGTGTCTTGAGTAGTCATGCTCACTAAAATGTCCAGAAATGTGGCGGCGTGGTGGGTCGGGTCATTGGGCTCCCTAAAATATGGTCGAGCGCAGTGATGTCTGGCTCATCCATCGTACTCGTGAACGGGTGCTGCTTGTAGGGACTGGTCTGCTCTAATCACTACGACCGATTTCCTCTTATTTAATTGTTTAACCAGTTGGTTAATATTTAATATTTTTTCTATTCGAGTATTTAATTCAATTAGTGCTAATTGCTAGTTTGTATTCATACACTTCAACTTATAATGTAAAGTTACAATAAAATTATTTAAAAGAGCAACACGCAAGTTTCTTTCTCGTTCTTCTTGAGATGAGACAGTTTTCCGAATGAGCGATAGATAGAAGAAAAAAAAACTGAATTATAATGGCGACAGCCTTGGTGATCTAGTTCTCTCGGTGCTTTGGTACTAAGTGCTGTAAGTTACAAAAATATTATTGGCAAAATTAAAAAAAATGTGATGACTATTCAAAAGTGCTTCAATGTAAATTTATTAGAATAAATGATTTTCTATTCTATTCTATTGCCTTGCCTTTATTCCATTATTTGGGGTCGGCGCAGTATGACTTACATAGTGCATAGATTTTTGGCATAAGTGTTTTTCGGCCGGCCGCCTGCCTGACATCAACCCTACTTAGGAACACTATTGTTGGTTGTTTAACGTCCACCGTAAAGGCGTCCGTTAGTACTAGTTGTTATTGCACCGGGATTTTTAAACTCTTGTGTATTATCCTACTTACCTACTTATCCTATCATCGTCGCAGCCCGGAAGACGTCCACTGCTGGACATAGGCCTCCCCCAAAGATTTCCACTACGATCGGTCCTGCGCTGCTCGCATCCAATGCCTTCCAGCGATCTTGACCAGATCGTCGGTCCACCTTGCTGGAGGCCTTCCCACGCTGCGTGTTATCCTATTACAATAAGATATTTTGCCTAAGTTTGATTGGCATGCTATCCAAGTTTTAAGTTTTTTCTTCGCTCCCCGGTTAACAAAGGAGATTTCCAAGCTATCTTCCAAGCTATATCTGAACTATATTCAATGCCTGATGATGCCTCGTTCAGAGGCGAAACACGTGTCGCAATATGGGTGTAGATTCAATAATAGTCGGAATTTGATCATCAATAGAGAAAGTCGTAACGCTTTCAGTAGCGGTGGTCAGTTTTCCGCGCTGAACTGTGGTCTCACACATGCTAATTAATGGTAGCGAAATTAAACAAAAGAATATAAATACATTATGTAATACCTAATTCGATAAAAATAGTAGGTATTTGTTTATAAATCAAAGATAATAAAGCAAATATTGGACTACAATGGGTTTTGTATGTCTGGAATTTATATCTAGCAGCAAATTGAATTTGGAATGTTACAGATACAAAGTCGCGATATAAAGTAAAAAAAATTAGACACAGAACTATTGCCATTCCGGAGTACTAAGATAGGTAGATAGATAAGAATTTTTATTTGTAACTAAAAGTACATACATATAAGTTCAATTACAAGGGGGTATTATATTACGGAATATTTAGACCAATACGATACAATATGAGTAACCCTGTATGTATGCACCACAACAATACAAAATGGGTCATAGGTCTGTGTGGAGATTCACTCACGGAGCAAAATAGTGATTTTCAGCTATGACCGCAAGGTTCAATGTATTTATAAAAAAAAACTGAATTATAATGGCGACCGCCTTGGTGATCTAGTTCTCTCAATGCTTTGGTACTAAGTGCTGTAAGTTACAAAAATATTATTGGCATAGCGTAATATGGTAGCCAGCAAGGTAAAGTTTGTAAAAAATCGCCTGCGAGTATACCTCTCTCTACCTAATTACCAAGTTATGTTTCAGTTAAAGGCGAAGAAATTACAGAAGGTAATTAAGTAACCCTCTGTTCATTTACAGTGATACCAGCGACGTGGTGATGAGACACCCTCGCCACTCGTCCGGGTTCCTACTCGCTGACGGCGGGGATGGATCCGAGGCGGATCTCCTCGGCACCACGCCCCCACGATCTAGGATCAGGGACAAGGAAAAACGCAGGTAAATTTATGTTCAAAAATAGATTTTAGGTACCTTTTTTCAGGTCGGCCTATTACGTTTAGTCTTCTATCTAGACCTGCAGTAAATTCTTTATTAAAAGGTGATATTTATGGAAAATTATGGAAAATTACGGAATGATGCACCCGTCTGCACTGGCGGTTTAAGCTGTGACGGCACCAGTGACGGCACCAGTGAAGGATGAGAAGATGAGCATGAGGCTAACCTCATGCTCATTATCACTATATAAGTGTCTTAGGTCAGTTAGCCCATCGTGATAAATTCACTTGGAATTTATCACGATGAGTGATGAGTTACATTGGTTGCAATTGAGTCGAGAGCCTACATTATTAACCATCCCTTACCTCCCTATTAGAACGTGTTTCTAAATCTATGTCTGTTCTAAATCTGATCTGATCTGCCAGGACAATCTGTCCTAGGTTGTCGGGTCAGGCAATTCTTCCCTCTCGATGAGATATGCCATACTGGTCCACCAGGTAGCTGGAGGACGTATCTACCTCTTTTATGTTCGGATAGTTATAAAGCTTTCTTACCGCATATTCCTCGTCTCTCCGCATTACATGGTAATACCATCTGAGACGGCTTTCTCTGATAATACCATCTGATACCATTCTGGTAATACCATCTGAGAGTTTTTCTGTTATTGGAGCTACTTTAAAACTGTTGTAGTAATAAGAAAAAGGACTAGGTAAACGGAGAAAATATATTAATATAGACTACTGACAATTAGTATATGATGATCAACGATGTATGCTTCGGCCGTTGTCTGGGCATATTTATGGTTGTGCTGGTTTATTCACGTCCCAGTGGGAATTAGTGGTGGGTGTTCCGGATGGTACAATATGTGGTTGTATTGGTGGTATCTACGTCCCTGATTCGATCCTTCAAGAGGTATGGATGTGATAGAATATGTTATATAGGTTATATATATTTTGTCTTGGTAAGTTTTAATGTTAGCATGGCCTGCAGTATTCTTTAAACTTTACTAAATTAGATTTAGACTTTGAAAAAGACGTCTTGTGACTCTACCAGACCATCGCAACATTTTCATTTCTGTTTGTCCTCTATGCTATAAAAATATTATAATAGTAGAGTATAATCTGTACACTCCATCAAAAGCGATGTTATCTGTGATTGTAGTCATTGTACTGGCGCCAGCACCACTCGACCGCCACGTAAGGTTATTTTTAACAATTGATTTTTGACCACTAGGGGCGGGTGGCAGTTTTATAAATAGCAATGAAATCGATTGCAGTATCAATGCCCTTACTTTGAATATAATAAGTAATAATTAATATATATTCGTAAGATTATCTATACATTTATACGTATAAATAAAATTGGAGTTTGTTTGTAATATTGAAATAACCGTTTTTTACTACATGCATATGAATATAACTACGGTACATACACCAAAATAACATTTTATACAATTTTTGTCTGTTTGTCTGTTTGTTACGGCTAATCTCTGAAATGTATGGACCGATTTTGACGGGACTTTTTTAGGCAGGTAGCTGATGTAATAAGGAGTAACTTAGGCTACTTTTATTTTTAAAAAATATTTTATTTTAGAAAAATAATGTTAAATTCCATGCGGTCGAAGTGACGGGTAGAGTTAGTAAATAAAAAAACCTGAACAATTTTTTTTTACAATTCACACAGCGCCATCTAGTCCCAAGTTAAGCTAACTAAAGGTTGTGTTATGGATAACTGATACAAATATGTTGCGAGTGAATGATACGATGTTGTTGGTCGAGACGATGTATATTACAGATGATGATAAACTGACAATATGTACATAGAAATAATGATCCTATATACTAAATAAAAATAGGAAAATGTAAGGTGGGGTGACACAGTTTAGACACGGCAGTGCTTAGTACACAATATTGGATTTGTCTTACTAGACATTATTAAATGCAATTATTATTTTGATGTATCTAGGTGACTGTGTCCCATAAAATACATTTTCGTAAATACATACATATTATACATAGAAAACACACAGACTGAAACAATCATACTCATTAATACAAATGTTTGTGCCGTGCAAGGACGACCTCGGTGGCCTAGCGGTCTAGCACACCGCTTTACGTCCGATGGTCGCGGGTTCAATTCCTCGCACGGCACAAACATTTGTATTCGTGAGTATGATTGTTTGTATCGGCCTGGGTGTTTTCTATGTATTTACGAAAGAAATAACTATATATTTCTGTCAGTTGCCTAGTACACGTAATACAAGCTTTAGCTAGCTGACTTGATTCTACCGCTCATTCGGAATGCAGGCTCATCACAAGAAGAATGAGCAAGAAACTTGTGTGTTCCTCTTTTAGATAAATATTGATTTACTTATATTTAATTAACAACAATGATTAGGCATGCGACATTCAACATAGAAACCGCTACGAACTTAATCTCTGTTCAATCAGATAACATTGTCAGCGCTATGAATTTTAAGTTAGATATTTTCTACAAAAACATTATTGTCATTTATAAATTCTTCAGTTTTATAATAAGCTTTTTTACAAAGAAAATATTTTATGACACATTTGATTTTTTTTTCTGGCAAATAGAGTACGGACTCTGTCAGTTTGTTGTAAAACCGTAAACGAATTACTAACTTTCGTTAGATATTTTCTACAAAAATATTATTATCATTTAAAATTATTGGAATAAAGAACTAATGATTTATCAAAATCCGTTAGAATTTATAATTTCCATAAAATAAATTACTATCTTTCGTCAAACGGCACTTAGGTAAAACTAACATTATAATTATTTTTATAACATGTATTTAAAAAGAATACGAGATGAGTTTCGTGTCAGTTCTTCTCATCTCGAAATCATACCGAACTGACGGTATATTTGACATATCATAAGAGTCTGTAATAGACCTACATGAATGAAGATATTTTGAATTTTTGTAAGAACTGAACCAGTTAGATCTCTCTGTCTACTTCTGATAGTAATGGCGTGACGATTGATGATTCTTTTTATAAATAGCGACATCAATATGTAAATAGGATTCACAGATTATCTTATCAGATACGAATCAACGTAGATAATAATATAATAAGTGACAATATTCTGCGATAGTTGACAAGGTTTTAGTTTTTATAAATAAAGGAGAATACACACGTACAGTTAGAGCAGTACAGAACATCGAGACAAAATAACCACTAAACAGAGAGGTAAGTTTAGTCGTGAATTTATTCAATTTGCCAAGAAAAAAATTCAAACGTGTCATAAAATATTTTCCTTGCAGCTTTGTAGGTTTCAATGAGTCTGGTAGGATGAGGAACCAAGAAAACTGTCTGGCAATTTAGGAAACTCAGTTTAATAGCTCTCTCAATAATAAAGTTCAGCTTTATTGAAATGACGTAAATTTATTTATAAAATAGTATAGTTTAGGGGGGTCCGGCGGGGGGTTGGAACCACACTAAGTGTCTGGCAATGAGCAGCGCAAGTTATAATAATGCTACGAACAATATATGAAAATATGGAGTTTCTTAAAATAACGAATTTGATATGAATTTTTTTACACCTTTGTTACCTGGTACCTGCCAAAGGAACCACGATCCAGGTTTCATGTTTGGGGATCGTTCTTACCTCTGTTGGGGACAAACATACAAGAACTTTGACGTTTACTAAAATGACGTATGTCTGGCCGTCGTGGGCTCTTGCTCTATTAGTATAAGTGTAAGTTGTTCAAGTAATGAGTCACTGTTTGCCACTTTGCACATATTTTTGTTTTTACCGTCGAATGATTATAATAATGATGTTATTTTCACAGGAATGTATTGGAGTCCCACGTGAACGCTCAGAAGTCACCAAAGACAAGAAGGCCAGTGGTGGACGATGACGGCAATTACGGACAGTCACCACCACTAGGTAATTAGACCATTTTTTATGTAATTTGAATGGTAGATATGCTGTCCGCCTGATGGTAAACGGTAACTGTTGCCTATGTACATGAATAGCAGTACGGACATTTCATCGTCATGTGACATCAGTATGTTATTATTCTACTCTATGCTGTTCTCTTCTCTTCTCTTCTCTTCTCTTCCCTTCCCTTCCCTTCCCTTCCCTTCCCTTCCCTTCCCTTCCCTTCCCTTCCCTTCCCTTCCCTTCCCTTCCCTTCCCTTCCCTTCCCTTCCCTTCCCTTCCCTTCCCTTCCCTTCCCTTCCCTTCCCTTCCCTTCCCTTCCCTTCCCTTCCCTTCCCTTCCCTTCCCTTCCCTTCCCTTCCCTTCCCTTCCCTTCCCTTCCCTTCCCTTCTCTCCTCTTCTCTTCTCTTCTCTTCTGTCCTATTCTAAATATTGATTATATATATGTACATAAGCCAACGTTGTGAATTTCCATCATGTGGCTCATCAGATGAAAACTTCTAATTCAAATTAAAACAATATTTATTCATGTAGCACGATTAGGCTTTCTATGCGAATTGCGAAATAAAGATAAAAAATTGAGTTGAAAATCAGCGTTTGGGCATTACAGCCCAGACACAAAGCTGAGTCGAACAAAAATTTGGTCGCAGCTGTATTTTTAAAATAATTTGTTATAATTTTTGTAAAATGTTGTATGATTGTTTTGTATGCGCCAAATAAATATATTTTTCTTTCTTTCTTTCTAGTTCGTTTATTGAATTCAATTTCAGACCGTTTGAAGAGACGCAGCAATTTAAAATTGGTGAGGGCGAGGGCCCGTGACTGGAAGCAGGACCAGGGTCAGAGGGAGCACCGCGCTGACTCGCTGCCTTCACCGAACCCCACCACCGTCGTGCCCACGCTGGTAACTTATTTCCGACCTAATTTTAATTGGAATAGGGTCTCAATTAGATTGCTTGTGCACACACTGGTAACATCCCGTTCAAACCATTTTCGATCTACTGTCTATAAGAATAGGGCCTCGATTAGATCGCTCGTGCCCACGCCCACGCTGGTAACGTCGCGTTCCAAAGTATTTCCGACCTTTTTTTTTTTTTAACGTGTGGAAAAATCTTCAAAAGACCGTCACCCCGCCGGAGGGATGGCGAGGTGGTGTGTGGGACTTGTACCCACTAAAAAACCACACGGTGTACCTACGAGCGCCTATGCCGGAGCCAGGGGATTCGCAAGTGCATTCTACCCCAGCTCCGACGGCGACGGCCCGCTCTGTAGATGTTGTAGGGCAGGCCTCATCTCGTTTTGTGGTTAGGGCGACCTATTTCGCCCTACTGCATTGTGGAGGCGTGTGGGTACACGCGCACACCTCCGGGGCCTTTGGATTGGGGGGACTGCCTCCCTCAAGGCAGTCACCCCGGCCCCAGTGGGGGATAGAGGGGGGCGGAGTTGAATACGCCCCCACCTCTAGGCCTGGCTCTTCTGCGGCGGAGGGAAGCGGGACGATCTGACTCCCGCTCCCTTTCCGCCGCCTCCTTCCGCGAGATAACTTCCTCGCAGAAGGAGCTCACCGCCAGCCACGATCTCTCGCTACTGATCATCCTCCGAACTAAATTCGGCAGCGAGAGATCGTCCCCCACTATTCGTGTGAGGACACCGCGCTCACTCTCAAACGCTGGACATATTTCCAGCGTGTGTTGCGCCGTGTCCTAAAGTATTTCCGACCTACCGTTAATAGGAATAAAGTATCAATTAGATTGCTCATGTCCATGCTTGTAACCTGTTTCCGACCTACTGTTAATAGCAACAAGTGCTCAATTAGATTGCTCGTGTCCATGCTGGTGACCTATTTCCGACCTACTGTTAACAGGAATAAGGTATCAATTAGATTGCTCGTGTCCACACTTGTAAACTATTTCCGACCTACTGTTAAAAGGAATAGGCTCTCAATTAGATTGCTCGTGTCCACGCTGTAACTTGTTTCCGACCTACTGTTAATAGCAATAGGCTCTCAATTTGACTGCTCGTGTCCACACTATAACCTGTTTACGACCTAATGTTAATAGAGACTCTAAATTAGATTGCTCGTGTCCATGCTTGTAGTCTATTTATGACCTACTGTTGTTAGGAATAGGGTCTCAATTCGATTGCTCGTGTCCACACTTGTAATCTACTTCTATCCTAGTATCAATAGGAATAGACTCTCAACTAAATTGCTCGTGTCTAGGATAGTAAGCTATTTCCAACCTACTGTTAATAGCAATAGGCTCAACATTAGATTGCTCGTGTCCATGCTGGTAATCTATATCCGACCTAATGTTAATAGCAATAGGCTCTCAATTAGATTACTCGTGCCCTCGCTGGTAACATCCCATCACGACCACTGCGGCCGTTAAAGTCACCTCCAATCTCTTTCAGGTGGAGTCATGTAATCGTTTCATGTCGCTGACCTCTCGTCTGAAATGCCCTGAGGGTCTGAAAGACGAGGATCTGGTGGAGCAGAGGGTGAGGGACGGAAAGGAGGAACTTCCGGCGAACCGCGTCAACTTTCACAAAACATTCTGCATGCTAATCAACATGGGGAACATCGAGAAAGGCTGCAGGCGGACGGTGAGTTTTTTATTTTTATTTATTTATTAATTTATTTCAATCCTTGTTTGGGAAACTACTCTGCTACCAAAATGTAATTCCCTAACATTTTGGTTATATATGTACTATGTGTATATATATAGTGAAAAATGAGTGGAAGCGTCAGTCACGTACCTGTATGGTTCTGCGGATTTCTTGGGCTTCAGGGTCTCGAAGATATCTTCGCTAGCTTTCTAGTTTCACAGTAGGTTTCACAGTTCTAATTTATTTTAATTTACAACACGATGCGCGCGCGTCATGGCCGCCGTACAGTCAGTTCAGTACTAGGTAAGGGAGGGGAAGGAAAGACGCGGGAACAGAAACTAACGGACTCTAATATAATAATCTGTGCTTACGATGGTACAGGGTAGATTTTGAACAATCCTAGTTGCCTGAAATGAATGAACTTTGAAACATTGAATGAAATTTACGTTCCGAATGAGTGGTCGAATAAATATAGTATACTAGCTGTGCCCGCTGTTTCACTCGTGTGACATTTATAACCTATATGTTATTCTGATGTATAAGCTATATTATTGTAAAGTTTCATCGAAATCCATTCAGTACACCACACCCTTCGGCCAGTAGTCCTCCTTCACGAAGGTGGGCATCTTAATTTCATTCATTAAGAATTAACCTTAACCTGAACCGATCGTCATGAAATTTTGTACATATTCATTACAATAAGGTATTTATGGTATGGGTCTAGTTGCCTGAAATAAATAAGATAACACAAGTACTTACTCAACAGATAAGTCGAGAGGAGCAGGTGTGGCAGAATGAACTGAAGGATCTGATCTGGTTGGAGCTCCAGGCGACCATAGCCGGCCGCTCGTTGGCAGAGCAGGACGAGTTCCTGTGCTCGCAGCGGAACGTGGTGCCTATCATCGTGCAGAACATCATCGATTACAGGTAACTGTAGAGAGAAATTGTCTGTTTGTCTTGAAATTGCAATATCTTGATCAGAAGTATTGTAAACATGTATAACATTTATTTGAAACTATCTACCCATCCCGGCTTCGCACGGGTGTACATGTATTATGCCCAATTTACACTTAGCCCTAGTGAGCAGGGAAGTGAGCAGCGGGAGAGTGTAAACACGAGTGGAAACACTTCCCATGCCATTGGCGCTGCCACTCGCGCTGCCCGGCGCTCCCTCGATTGTCGGTTTTCCGTGCGCGAGTCAAAGGACTGGCAGCGCGAGTGGCAGCGTGTTTTTACATTCAGCCCTCTCGCTCAGTTGTCGCCCGGCAATATTTCCGGCAGCGCGAGTGGCAGGGGAAGCAGCTGAATGTAAACGTAGCATTATACATACAAACATTCCTCTTGAATCACTCTATCTATTTAAAAAAACCGCTTCAAAATCCGTTGCATAGTTTTGAAGATTTAAGCATACATAGGAACAGACAGTTGCTGTCTGTTCCTATGTATGCTTAAATCTTCGACTTTGTTTTATATTCTGTAATGATGAAGAATACGAGCTGAGTTTCTTGTCAGTTCTTCTCATCTCGAAATCATTCCGAACTGACGGTAGATTTGACATATCATAAGAGTCTGTAATAGACCTACATGAATAAAGATATTTTGAATTGAATTTGAATTTTGAATAGGCTATAAATTTCACACAGATGAAATCGCGGGCACAGCTAGTAGGCTATAATTTAAAAAGATATTATGTAAATTGGGCGATATATAATGATAAGTGTGATTCAGACGAAGTCGCACGGGTCAGCTAGTATTTAATTTTAGTCATTGGGCTCCCTAAAATATGGTCGAGCGCAGTGGTGGCTGGCTCATCCGTCATACTCGTGAACGGGTGCTGCTTGTGTGGACTGGTCTGCTCTAATCACTATGACTTATTTTCTCTTATTAATTGTTGTGTATTGAATGTTTTTTCTATTATTATTTCATTGATTAGTGCTAATCGGTGGTTTGTATTCACACACTTAAACTTAAATTGTAAGTAAGAATAAATTATTTAAAAGAGCAACACACAAGTTTCTTGCTTGTTCTTCTTGTGATGAGATAGCATTCCGAATGAGCGATAGATTAAAAAAAAAATGTTATGACTATTCAAAAGTGCTTCAATGTAAGTTTATTTGAATAAATGATTTTCTATTCTCTTTTCTATTCTAGTTTGCATTTTTTGTCCAAGTCACTGTTCATAGACCGCCATCTTGTGCCCCCACTACTCGAAAACCGGAAGATGTAACATTTATACATTTCCAGATTCGTGAACACGGATGCATGCAAGTATCACTCGAGACCACTATGCTTTGAGGGTTCCAAAGAAGATCTCACCGCAGATCCTGCTCATGATGATAACAATACTCAAAACGGCGCCACCACAGAATACAACGATGGTAACGTTAAAAAAATTGGCCGTTACTTGGTAATTTTTACAAGATTACCCCCTTATTTATTTATTTAAAACTTTATTGATTTTGTACAATAGGCGGGCTTAATACTAATAGCATTCTCTGCCAGCCAACCTTAGGGAGTGCAGAGATACTCGAATGGTAACCCACAAAAACAAATGGTAACAGTGATGACCTTAAGGGTAAAAGTTTTAGAAACTTTGAACGTCATATTTATTTGTAGTTAAAAGTTAATAAAATCTAAACAGCCAGTTTTTATAAAACAAATGACCTTTTTAAAGTGTCATATATCATAATACAAACAACTATTTAAAATGTTTTTCTGTTTGTAGGAAAAAAAATGTTGGTTTGTAACTTTTAATACTGTAAAAATTACTATTTATATGTTTATGCCAATAATGTATTTTTATGCTGCATTATACGAGTACGATGACAGTAATGTAAACAGTATATGTACGTAAATTTTAAAATTATATTGTGAAAACGTCATTTAGATCTTTAAAATTAATATGTTAAACTAAAAGTTTCCTATTTAAAATATCGGTATCGCGATATCACATTATTTAAAAATTTGACATATACATCTGTCAATAATCTCCGGGATTAAAAAACAGACTATAGCATCCAAACTCGTAATGCTATAAAAAAAATTACATTATTGCAGAGTCAAGTGGATGGGGCTGCGTGTCGTTCAACTGCGTTGCGTGCACGCAAGCTATAGCGCGTGCAATGCGCGAGCTGGGCACGCTGCTCGATTCATTCTACAACGCGCTCTCGCTGTACCCCTCCAGCAAGGCCATGACCCTCCACCACCCCCTCATCGCCACGCAACTCTTCAAGAACAGGCTCAAGGTACTATTATTGGGGTATCTGCTCGATTCATTCTACAACGCGCTCTCGCTGTACCCCTCCAGCAAGGCCATGACCCTCCACCACCCCCTCATCGCCACGCAACTCTTCAAGAACAGGCTCAAGGTACTATTATTGGGGTATCTGCTCGATTCATTCTACAACGCGCTCTCGCTGTACCCCTCCAGCAAGGCCATGACCCTCCACCACCCCCTCATCGCCACGCAACTCTTCAAGAACAGGCTCAAGGTACTATTATTGGGGTATTTGGGCTATTGTTAGGAGCTTGGACGTACAGCACTGCGTAGATCTATTGTGCTCGCCCTTCTTCAGAGTACCCTATTATTACCTATTGTAAGATAAATCAACTCTATGTACTAGTAAAAGTATGTATTATAATAAAATAACAACTATATAACATTAATTTAACTATGTCTCTAACACAATTCACTTTAACATTTTAAAATACAACCAAGAACCAGCACATCCTGTGCTCAAACACCGAATGCCGTGGCTTACAAAAACCCTCCCTTTTATACAGAGAAGATATGAGTGGGGGTTATACGCAACTAGTTTAACGATACCGAGTAAAAATGAAACTACCTTCTTTTAATATTTTTAAAATATCAGATTTTTCGACAATATATTATATATGTCGGAGTAGGAAAGTAGGAATACTTTTTAAAAAGCTGCAGAACCGTTGACCTATAATAGGATCATCGGTTCTACTAGTGGTAGTAGTTTAACATTACATTAAAATAATAAAAGAACAAGCGAAATTAGATTAGTTTATTATTATAATAATAATCTCTAAATATGATTATAGTCTATCTTTCATTTTATTTTATAACACAATACTTTTCTAATGTGATTATAATTACAAATTGATCCTACTAAAGTAACAAGAGTTTTCAACTTACTTCCACGCCGCTCGAGCACCGAACACAGAATGAATCTTATTCACAAGACCAGCCATGTGGTCAAATCGTGTTCCCTCCAACTTGAACGCGCGCTCAAGTCGGAAGGTGTCGATCGCCACAGTGCCGGAAGTAAAATACCATTTTTGCCTAAGGCTTATAATTAAACAATAATAAAGCGGCATAATTACTTAAATTACCGTCTAGTTATTCTAATAATATTAGCAATTAAATAAAGCCATAAACTTGTAATATTAATAAATTTGACTTACACTATTAACCGAATCATCCGGATGTTTTTCATGTTGATTTTAGTTAACAACTTAAATGCAAAATAATTGAACGTTACATTATTGTTAAAAATAACTTTTTGGTATTTAAATTTAAATCAAGATGATTGCATTATTTTCTTTTTAAAATGGTTACAAGATTTTATCAAAGTTTTAATTATTGTGAAGGAAATCCGCACGCAAATGGCGGACGTTACGCAACATCCGACATTCGCTCGACATAGATAAATTTATTTACAATTCACATAACAATTGCTTAATTCATAATAAATTTTAATATTTAATTTAGTTTTTACTATATTTAGTAATTTTAAATAACAAACATAAGTTATTAAAAAGGACTGATAATGACGCCATCTAGCGGCATTAATTGAAGCGATTATGCGTTGATATTAAGCCGCATGGTAGCTCCATCTATCGTCCTTATATTAAAGATGTAATGAATGTGATTCAGTTTCTATTAATGTTGATAATCAATATGGTAAATCAACAGCAGATGCGTCATTCATCTCCTTATTTTTATTTTGTGGGTTATAATGTAGCTACGGCGACATATATATTATACTACGATTAGTTTACGATTGTCGTGGGTTCGATCCCTCCGATCAATCTACGTCCAATTCAAACGGGTATCGAGATTACAACGGTCTGAGCCAATTTCTTCTAATTCTTGTAATAATATTTCTTCCTACCGTCTAATTCATAATAAGGATTCAATAAAGAAGAATTGGCAAGAATATACATTATATACTTAACCTATGCCTAATCTTTATATATAAAAACGTGTCACGTTGTTTGTCCGCGATAGACTCGTAAACTACTGAACCGATTGCAAATTTGATTTGCACATTGTGTGCAATTTGATCCAACTTGAAAGATAGGATAGCTACATCTCAATTTAACGCATGGCCGGATCTGCTAGTATTAAATAAAAATCCCGGGCTATTGTTATGCATGTTTGTCACTTAAGCAATATAATAGAATAGAAAATCCTTTATTCAAATAAGCTTAATTTAGGCATTTTTGAATAGTATTTTTTTTAATCTACCGCTTATTCGGAAAGCTATCTCATCATAAGGAGAACGAACAAGAAACTTGTGTGTTGCTCTTTTAAATATTCGTTGTAAGTTTACATTTTTCAAGTCGAAATGTGTGAATGCAAACTACCAACCAGCACTAATTTATTAGGGTCAAATATAAATACACAATAAGATTCAGTCAGTCGTAGTGATAAGAGCAGACCAGTCCCTACAAGCAGCACTCGTTCACGAGTATGACGTATGAGCCAGCCATCATTGCGCTTGACCATATTTTTTACAATACATATGTGTGAATGGATGGTGTGTGCAGGCGATGTGCCTGTGGTACAACGTGGCGCTGCACATGCATCTGAAGGTGGCGTCGGTGCGCCGTATGCTGCGCAGCATGACCGCCAGGCACTCCAGCTGTCCAGACACCAGGTACTGGTTACATTCTACTACTTACGCTTAATTTTTAACATTCGATAGTCCGGCTCGATATGTCATGTCAGTTTGAGTTTAATATGGTAATAGTCGCATATTTTTCTGCCGGTAATGTAATGTAAATTGGACTCCAGTCTCCGCAATTAGCCTCTCATTTGGACCGTTGTGCGTGTAGAGCCAGACTACTAACGTAGCCAGCCAAGCACCTCCCTTACTTCCTTACTTCCCTTACTTCCTTACTAATATTTTAAATGCGAAAGTAACTCTGTATGTCTGTCTGTCTCGCTTTCACGCCAAAACTACTAAACCGATTGAAATGAAATTTGGTACACAAATAGTCTAGACCCTGAGAAAGGACATAGGCTACTTTTGAATGCGATAGAAGGGGTTGAAAGAGTTATGTATGGAAGTATCGTCATTTTTGAAAATGAAACGATGAAACTTTTTCATTTGGTTTTTATTGGGTTAGGTCATTAAATATTTTTTCATTATTTGGTCAAAGTCACTTTTACGCGGACGAAGTCGCGGGTACAGATAGTGAATTATATATCTACATTTCATAATTAAAAAGAAATTTAATAAGCATATTTGTATTACAGGCGAACATCAGACAGCCACAAGCCGAGTCAAGTCCGCTTCAATTTGAGCGACAACCCCACAGATTCAAGTAATAGTGATTCTAGCACGCAATCTGAAGTTATTAAGGAAGAAGCTGGAGAAGAAGCGAAAGAATTAAACGTAGAAACACCTGAGTGCCAAAGAAATGAGAGTCAAGAGACTGAAAGTCATGCCCACGAAGAGCCAAGCGAAGAAGCTGATACGAAACAGGGTTCAGTGGAGAGTCAAGGTGGAAGTATGGAGAAGATTGCACCGTTTAGTGAGGACGAAGTTGATAGAGGAATTGATTGGTACTCCGGTAAGTTTGTAATGCCCAGTTAACAAATTTTACATCGAAATCATAATTACTATCATATTTACTAAGCAAAGCCACTCATTAAACGATTACTTGAATGACGAGCGTGCATGGCAATAGTTGTTCATGCACGGGATTTTCATTTAATGTTAGACATCGACACCTATATAAATATACTTGGTAAATAAACGTGCATTAAAAAAAAAGTAATTGAGTTTCTTGCCAGTTCTTCTGATTTGGATCTATATGCTGAACTGGACGGTAGGGATAAAATTATAATATAAAAAAATTGATGTTCTTAAGCGGATAAAATCCTACATGAATAAATTATTTTTGAATTATCTGCATGACTCGTCCGCTCCGTTCGCCGGCTACTCGCATTATGTCTTGTTTGTCGGAGTCACTGATCATAGGTCTCCAACTTGTGGTTCCCTCGAAAAACCGCAATTGATCACAATATTATAATCTTTCATCGTCATCATCAGTTCACTGCAGTCACTGGTAGACCCATGTCTACCAGTGACTGCAGTGAACTGTGCCCAGTATTGTGCCTTGTGAAAGACCCATGTCTTTCACAAGGCACAATACTGGGTACGATTTTTACCTTTAATTGTAATGAAATCATAATGAGACGAAAACTTACTACTGGTATGCTCGTGTGTTATGATTTAATAACCGGTGACATTAAGAAGGTGGCCGGAAGTGGATGGATGTGGAAAGTGGAAGGCATGTGGGAAGGTCTATTTCCAAATTTGAGATACAAATTTATTTATAGTAGATAATATAGATTAATTATTGTCATATTTGTTTGCAATCAGAATCGAATGGGCAGATAACGCCAGAGTTGGTGATATCTGGACAGGCGGGGCCACCTTCGGCGGCTTCGTCCGAGAGCGGCTACGCGTCCGCGAGCGCGGCGTGCTCCCCGGGCGAGCTGGCCGAGCTGGCGCGGCTGCGGCTGCTCGGCCGCTGCCAGGTGTCGCCCTACAGGTGCGTGCCCCCCCGCCCCCCGCCCCCCGCCCCCCGCACCGGGGGCACGTCCGCGAGCGCGGCGTGCTCCCCGGGCGAGCTGGCCGAGCTGGCGCGGCTGCGGCTGCTCGGCCGCTGCCAGGTGTCGCCCTACAGGTGCGTGCCCCCCCGCCCCCCGCCCCCCGCCCCCCGCACCGGGGGCACGTCCGCGAGCGCGGCGTGCTCCCCGGGCGAGCTGGCCGAGCTGGCGCGGCTGCGGCTGCTCGGCCGCTGCCAGGTGTCGCCCTACAGGTGCGTGCCCCCCCCCCCCCGCCCCCCGCCCCCCGCACCGGGGGCACGTCCGCGAGCGCGGCGTGCTCCCCGGGCGAGCTGGCCGAGCTGGCGCGGCTGCGGCTGCTCGGCCGCTGCCAGGTGTCGCCCTCCCGGTGCGTGCCGCCCCGCCCCCCGCCCCGCGCCCCCCGCCCCGGGGGCACGTCCGCGAGCGCGGCGTGCTCCCCGGGCGAGCTGGCCGAGCTGGCGCGGCTGCGGCTGCTCGGCCGCTGCCAGGTGTCGCCCTACAGGTGCGTGCCCCCCGCCCCCCCCCCCCCGCCCCCCGCACCGGGGGCACGTCCGCGAGCGCGGCGTGCTCCCCGGGCGAGCTGGCCGAGCTGGCGCGGCTGCGGCTGCTCGGCCGCTGCCAGGTGTCGCCCTACAGGTGCGTGCCCCCCCGCCCCCGCCCCCCGCCCCCCCGCACCGGGGGCACGTCCGCGAGCGCGGCGTGCTCCCCGGGCGAGCTGGCCGAGCTGGCGCGGCTGCGGCTGCTCGGCCGCTGCCAGGTGTCGCCCTACAGGTGCGTGCCCCCCCGCCCCCCGCCCCCCGCCCCCCGCACCGGGGGCACGTAGTTAATAGAGTGAAGAATGAAATTACAACGACCATACGTCTGCAGGGCCTACCACCATGAGATGCTGAAGACGCAGAGCGTCCGGCGCTGCATGTCGTTCATGGACAAACTGCGCAAGCACGTGTTAGCGAAGGTCTACCTCACGCTGGAGAAACCTGATCATAACGTTAGTAAAAATTCACTAGTCTATCTTTTTATATAGTTCGTAGTAATAAAATTACTGTAGACTAACTGTACCCGCGTGTAATTTATAGCCTATATGTTATTCTGATGTATAAGCAATATTACCGTAAAGTTTCATCAAAATCCGTTCAGTAGTTTTGATGTGAAAGTGTAACAAACATACATGCAGACTCACAAACTTTCCCGTTTATAATATTTGTAAAATAATCTATACATATAAATAAAATTGGAGTGTCTGTGTGTAATATTGAAATAACCGTTTTTTACTACATGCATATGAATATAAATACGGTACATACACCAAAATAATATTTTTTTACAATTTTTGTCTGTCTGTTTGTTCCGGCTGATCTCTGAATTGGCTGGACCGATTTTACGGGACTTTTATTGGCAGGTAGCTGATGTAATAAGGAGTAACTTAGGCTACTTTTATTTTAGAAAAATAAAGTTAAATTCCACGCGGACGAAGTCGCTAGTACAGGTAGTAGTGATAAAACAATACTTTTTCATTTAACAATCGTGTAGGCATCAGAAACGCATCTAGACGGTGAAGATGCCCCAACTGGTGTGTTCGACGAGAGCAAGCACGAAGAGGAGACCGATGCAGCCGGAGACAAAGAGGCCATGGTCAATGAACTGCACAGGTATATATATACTCGTAGATAGTGGTAACCCAGTTGTTCGGGTTGTAACGTTGTACGTTGTATGAAGATTCTTGCAGCGTCAGTGAAACAACACGGTCGGTTGTTAACTGTTTTTTGAAAAAGAAACCAAATACCATCTACCATCTTAATACTAATTATTAAACTACCCTACAATTCTGATAGGTAAAACTTATATATGATACTGATAGAATTTGATTGAGGTGGGATTTCACCAATCTAAATATATATAACTCAAAGGTCATTGACATTGTGATCTATCAACGTACAGCCCAAACCACTGCACGGATCGGGCTGAAATTTGGCATGCAGGTAGATGTTATGACGTAGGCATCCGCTAAGAAAGGATTTTGATTAATTCTAACCCCAAGGGGATAAAATAGGGAATTAAAGTTTGTATGAAACTTTGTCAATTTCAAACCGATCGGGCTGAGACTTTACATGCATAAAGCTACTATGACGTAGGCAACCCCTAAGAAAGAATTTTGATGAATTCCACCCTTAAGAGGATAAATTAACGCGAGCTAAGCCGCGGGCAAAAGCTAGTGTAAAATGAAATATTAATGTTGCGAAATAATATACGATGCTCGTGCACCAGTGGTCTACGACCATGACTTAATAAAAGTACTAGCTTATGTCCCTGGGCATTACAATACCTGAAAGTCAAATATTCAGCAACTTACAGTCGATATCAATTACCTCATCACTATTTTCGCAATGAATAGTGGGTACGGGCTGTTCGCGACTGACCAGTTTCAGACCGGCTCGATTTCACCGAAGAAACTGATCGCGTTTAGTTCGAACTGAACGCCATTAAAACGTTTAAACGTGTTCAAAGCTTCATTTTGCATTTCACTACAAATTTCGCTAAACGCGTTTATAAATTCTGAACGTCTGATTTCCTACTGTTAACTCTTTAAACGTATTTACAGCAGCTGTCAGTTGTCAAACAGTCATGAATCAAATTTTTGACAATACAATATCGGGAATAAAAAGAAAATTGCCAGTAGTGTAAAAAAAATCTCAATAAAATAATGTTTTACTAGTTTATGGGTAAAGGTTGTTGTTTTATAATATGTAGTTGACGGTACTTATTAAATTTAAAAACTTATCCTAATTATCACATGATTGAATTACAAATATTTTTTAGAATTATTTTATGTAAATAAATTACCCATTGCATCAAATATTATTTTATGAGCGTGTAACAATGTGAACGAATGAAAATATAAACTTCATTTTGGTAAACGCGATCTATATAACGCTGGTGAATTCCATTTAAAGTAAAACGAGATCAACTTCATTCTTTTTTCGAGTCTACGCTGAACTCCGTTTCCTTGAACGTGTTTATACTACGATTGGTGAAATCCAGCCTTAATTTGCATTCCATGTATACAGTAACAAACATTACACTTGTACCCTCAAATCGTTTTCAAATAATTCTCCAACTCACATTACCCGCTGTTTTAGATATGGTTGCTGGTCGGAGGAGTGCCTAGCGATGCGACTGCCGTCTTACCGCAACTACTTTTTACTTCTGAGCAGCATTTGCCTGGAGGCCGTCCACGATTACCTCACTATGAGACTGGAGGACCGGCCTGAGAAGCCCTCTTGTCTCACTATCAAACAGGTAACCAGGTTTTAATATTAAATATAAAATAAACGCAAGTATTTTCATTGTATGTTCAATAATGAATATCCTGATTTTTCTTATATTTATTTGTAATGCGAAAGTCATATTTGATATAAATTATTTCGCTTATAGAATATTTTATTCACATTATCAATGTAACAAGACAACTGCAGGCCATTGAGGTGATAATGTTGAGATGGATGTGTGGTACGACAAGAATGGACAAGACAAAGAACGATATTAGTGCTATTAGAGGAAGTATGAAATTAGTGCTGGTATCGGACAGGCCAAGAGTAAACATCGGTCTTGGTATAGCCATGTAATTCGTAGGATTAATTATAATAATAATAACAAAAACAATAATCATAACTATGGGACACAGTCACCTAGATACATCAAAATAATAATTGCATTTAATAATGTCTAGTAAGACAAATCCAATATTGTGTACTAAGCACTGCTGTGTCTAAACTGTGTCACCCCACCTTACATTTTCCTATTGTTATTTAGTATATAAGATCATTATTTCTATGTACATATTGTCAGTTTATTATCATTTGTAATATACATCGTCTCGATCAATAACACAGTATCATTCACCCGCAACTATACCAACAACAACGGTCCTAAAGGAATGGTAGAAGATGTAGAAGATGATTAATGGTAATTACTGAGTGCGTAACGATTTCTATGTTGATTATCGCATGCCTCTTACTTGTTATACTGTAATTATTATATAAAAAAACATCTATTCATTCTATCATTATAAGAGCAACACACAAGTTTCTTGCTCATTCTTCTTGTTATGAAACTGCATTCCGAATGAGTGGTAAAATCAAAATATGACTATTCAAAAGTGCTTGTAATGAGTTTATTTGAATAAAGATTATTTATATTTCTATTTCTAATGGTAATTAAGATAGTTATGTAGATAGAGGCGCGATGAACAGTGCCAAAATAAAATCACTTTTTATTTCTACGAGTTCTTTTCCAATTTGCCCGGCTTGTGTCTATCTAAGCTCTAAACGGACGTAAGTAGATCAATGAAATGACTTGACCTGAAGACGTGGGCTCAAAGAACTGATTTACTTAGATTAACCATTTGCTTTGTTGTACTCAGCTAATCCACGAGCTGAAGGAGGGGCTGGATATAGCGACGGAGGCGCGCGCAGACTTCGTGCGTAACGTGCGCGTGGCGCTGGCGGGGCGCGCGGGGGGCGCGGGGGGAGCGGGGGCAGCGGGGGCAGCAGGGGGAGCGGAGGGAGCGGGGGGCGGGGCGAGCCCCGTGGGGGCGTGCGGCGCCGCCCGCGCGGACCTGCTGCTGCTGGTGCGCACCTACGACGCCACCGTCGAGGAGGTCATGCGGGTACGTGCCCGCGACGTTGGCGCCGCGTATAATGCGTGTTCGTTTTATTACAAACGTACAAATTTATGTCTTAAAGAAAATTCTTAATGCTTAACGTAAATTAATCGAAAATAATCCGGTATCTATTGAGTACCACTGTTATATTATTTTGTTTGTACAGATGTTCATTTTCAGAAGCATTTTTTTGTAACTAATATGATAACGAATTTTAGTAAATTATTTATTATTCCAATAACAAAGAAATATTAGCCGATAACTCACCTGATGGTAAATGGTTACCGGCTCCTATATACGTTGAATGAACTAGAAGAAACTGACAAAGCAGACTTATGGGACCATCCAGAGGTCTCAGCATAATCGACTCGGCACCACCTGTAGAGCTATTCTATGAGCATCACTTACGAATTCGAAAGAGGAAACCACAGTGAGATTGTTTATTGGTATTCTGTAAACCTCGATAGCGACTACAGTGTCACACGCTCGAGAGCTGGATAGAGGTAAACAGGCACTAGTGATTTTTTTAGTAATATATACAAACTCGATAGCTCAGTAGGAACTTTATATTTGCAAATGGATACGACTGGCTTAAGTAAAGCGATGAATAAAATGAGTTGATAAAACGTTTACAGAATACCAATGCAGGTCTCATAGTGAGTGTGAACATACGGACATTTAATAAAACGTGTGTGGTTCTGGCAGCAATACCTGTCGTACCTGACGACGATGTCGGAGACGATGCAGCTAACACGCGCGCAGCTCCAGGCCGAGTGGGACTTCATGGCGCAGCTCGCACGCCGCGTACACTGCGCCGCCCTCCTCGCACCCGCCGCACACACGTACGTACACTGCCCCCCCGCCTCGCACCCGCCGCACACACGTACGTACACTGCCCCCCCGCCTCGCACCCGCCGCACACACGTACGTACACTGCCCCCCCGCCTCGCACCCGCCGCACACACGTACGTACACTGCCCCCCCGCCTCGCACCCGCCGCACACACGTACGTACACTGCCCCCCCGCCTCGCACCCGCCGCACACACGTACGTACACTGCCCCCCCGCCTCGCACCCGCCGCACACACGTACGTACACTGCCCCCCCGCCTCGCACCCGCCGCACACACGTACGTACACTGCCCCCCCGCCTCGCACCCGCCGCACACACGTACGTACACTGCCCCCCCGCCTCGCACCCGCCGCACACACGTACGTACACTGCCCCCCCGCCTCGCACCCGCCGCACACACGTACGTACACTGCGCCGCCCGCCTCGCACCCGCCGCACACACGTACGTACACTGCCCCCCCGCCTCGCACCCGCCGCACACACGTACGTACACTGCCCCCCCGCCTCGCACCCGCCGCACACACGTACGTACACTGCCCCCCCGCCTCGCACCCGCCGCACACACGTACGTACACTGCGCCGCCCGCCTCGCACCCGCCGCACACACGTACGTACACTGCCCCCCCGCCTCGCACCCGCCGCACACACGTACGTACACTGCCCCCCCGCCTCGCACCCGCCGCACACACGTACGTACACTGCCCCCCCGCCTCGCACCCGCCGCACACACGTACGTACACTGCCCCCCCGCCTCGCACCCGCCGCACACTCGTACGTACACTGCGCCGCCCGCCTCGCACCCGCCGCACACACGTACGTACACTGCCCCCCCGCCTCGCACCCGCCGCACACACGTACGTACACTGCCCCCCCGCCTCGCACCCGCCGCACACACGTACGTACACTGCCCCCCCGCCTCGCACCCGCCGCACACACGTACGTACACTGCCCCCCGCCTCGCACCCGCCGCACACACACGTGCCCCCCCGCCTCGCACCCGCCGCACACACGTACGTACACTGCCCCCCCGCCTCGCACCCGCCGCACACACGTACGTACACTGCCCCCCCGCCTCGCACCCGCCGCACACACGTACGTACACTGCCCCCCCGCCTCGCACCCGCCGCACACACGTACGTACACTGCCCCCCCGCCTCGCACCCGCCGCACACACGTACGTACACTGCCCCCCCGCCTCGCACCCGCCGCACACACGTACGTACACTGCCCCCCCGCCTCGCACCCGCCGCACACACGTACGTACACTGCCCCCCCGCCTCGCACCCGCCGCACACACGTACGTACACTGCCCCCCCGCCTCGCACCCGCCGCACACACGTACGTACACTGCCCCCCCGCCTCGCACCCGCCGCACACACGTACGTACACTGCCCCCCCGCCTCGCACCCGCCGCACACACGTACGTACACTGCCCCCCCGCCTCGCACCCGCCGCACACACGTACGTACACTGCCCCCCCGCCTCGCACCCGCCGCACACACGTACGTACACTGGCCCCCCGCCTCGCACCCGCCGCACACACGTACGTACACTGCCCCCCCGCCTCGCACCCGCCGCACACACGTACGTACACTGCCCCCCCGCCTCGCACCCGCCGCACACACGTACGTACCCTGCCCCCCCGCCTCGCACCCGCCGCACACACGTACGTACACTGCCCCCCCGCCTCGCACCCGCCGCACACACACGCCTCGCACCCGCCGCACACACGTACGTTCACTTCCCCCCCGCCTCGCACCCGCCGCACACACGTACGTACACTGCGCCCCCCGCCTCGCACCCGCCGCACACACGTACGTACACTGCCCCCCCGCCTCGCACCCGCCGCACACACGTACGTACACTGCCCCCCCGCCTCGCACCCGCCGCACACACGTACGTACACTGCCCCCCCGCCTCGCACCCGCCGCACACACGTACGTACACTGCCCCCCCGCCTCGCACCCGCCGCACACACGTACGTACACTGCCCCCCCGCCTCGCACCCGCCGCACACTCGTACGTACACTGCGCCGCCCGCCTCGCACCCGCCGCACACACGTACGTACACTGCCCCCCCGCCTCGCACCCGCCGCACACACGTACGTACACTGCCCCCCCGCCTCGCACCCGCCGCACACACGTACGTACACTGCCCCCCCGCCTCGCACCCGCCGCACACACGTACGTACACTGCCTGGTTTTGTGTTAATCTAGTTTATGATTACGGATATATCTGTATTAGTGATATCCTGTTTCTTTAACAGCAATATCACGTGTAACCAGCTGGACCGGGTGTTGCAGCAGTTCCGTTCCAAGTTCTCAAATATGAAGGAGACCATGAATCACATCGATTATAAATCTAAAATGTAAGTATAGTCTTCTTTTTATATTTGCTACTAGCTGTACCCGCGTCTTCGTCCGCGTGGAATTTAACTTTGTATTTCTAAAATAAAAGTAGCCTAAGTTACTCCTTATTACATCAGCTACCTGCCAATAAAAGTCTCGTCGAAATTAGTCCAGCCTTTTCAGAGATTAGCCGGAACAAACAGACAGACAGACAAAAATTGTAAAAATAGTTATTCTGATGTATGTACCGTATTTTTATTCATATGCATGTAGTAAAAAACGGTTATTTCAATATTACACACAGACACTCCAATTTTATTTATATGTATAGATTAATTATTATATTCAATTGTTTGTAGGGATAGGTCTGTTCTGATAACTATGACTGATTTGTTTTGTTACTCAAGTAGTTACTATATTTTTTTATTTTTATCAAACTTTGCATTAAACAGTTTGTATTCACATAAAATCATAAATATGTAATGCTGAACAACATTTATTTAAAAGAGCAACACGCAAGTTTCATGCTAGTTCTTTTTGTAATAAATGTGCTGTATATAAAAAAATAAGTTTTTTTTTCGGACTACTCTAATGCTGTTGGCCGCAGCTGTCCTTTACAGCTTCACCGGACGTTAGGGGGCGAGTGCAGATGGCACTCCAAGCCAAGGAAGGTCTTATGGAGCGGCTGAAGGCCAACTCCTGCCTGACGGATACGACTTTAGTCTGAGGGCACCACTAGGGGTTCGAACCTCAGCTCAGGCCGTCGTAATATCGATCCCCGTTTGAATTGGACGGGGGATCGATCGGAGGGGTTAATATTTTTTAACTGACAGAAAAATAAGTGTGGATATTCAAGAATGCTGAAATTTAATAAAGAATCATCCCATTACTAAATTGTTTGGATTTTGAACATGTTTATGACCCGTCAATTCTGTTCACGGGCTGCTTGTATGTATCTTTTTGTCTCATCATCGTGGAAATACGTCATTCGCGACAGGGCGGCGGTACTAGCCGGTCTGGCAAGAGACTATAATTTTATTAGACCCACTATTCCTTCAGCTGGCTACACAATTGTAGCCGGTCTCACTGCCTGGTGAAAATGAACGACCCTGGGGTGGTTCACTTCAGCAGTATACCCGGGTAAAGAGCATATGCTCGAGGCCCCTACCCGGTGATCCATAAGGACTCTTAGAAAACTTCAATCAAAACTGTAGAAGTCACTATTCATTCGCCATCTTACGCTCCACTACACTCGGAAAATAGGAATTTTTATTCCTGGAATAAACGATCAATACGTTTACTATAATCTGCCTGATTGGCAGATTGCTACTGTTAGTAATTTTTTTATGTAACGACTGTCCACCAAATATTCGGTGAATATACGTGTCCGTGTGCGTGTCCTCAGTGCGAGCGTGCTCGTCTGCTTGACCGTGTACGCACTAGAATAGAATAGAATAGAAAATCATTTATTCAAATAAACTTAATTTAAGCACTTTTGAATAGTCATAACAATTTGTTTTTTATCTACCACTCGTTCGGAAAGCTGTCTCATCACAAGAAGAACGAGCAAGAAACTTGTGTGTTGCTCTTTTAAATAATCCTTGTAAGTTTACATTTACAAGTCGAAACGTGTGAATACAAACTACCAACAAGCACAAATTTTTTGGGTCAAATATAATCATGCAATAAGATTAAATCAGTCGTAGTGATAAGAGCAGACCAGTCCCTACAAGCAGCACTCGTTCACGAGTATGACGGATGAGCCAGCCATCACTGCGTTCGACCATATTTTAGGGAGCCCATTGACCCGGCCCACCACGCCGCCACATGTCTGGACATTTTAGTGAGCATGACTACTCATTCCACACGACCACGTCACAGCTACAAAAATTACTATATGGTAGTTACAGTATTCGCACTTTACATAAGGATGCATGCGGCAATCAATACAAAAGCCGCTACGCTATCATATATCAAGAAAGCACTGTGCCGGGAGATGCGTCCCACGTACGCCAGCGAACGTTACAATACACAATTTCTATCTGTTTGCCAATTATGCTCTGGTATAACGGTGCGTGTGCGTGTCCTCAGTGCGAGCGTGCCGGTCCGCGAGGCGGTGTACGCGCTGTGCCGGGAGATGCGTCCCACGTACGCCAGCGAACGTTACAATACACAATTTCTATCTGTTTGCCAATTATACTGTGGTATAACGGTGCGTGTGCGTGTCCTCAGTGCGAGCGTGCCGGTCCGCGAGGCGGTGTACGCGCTGTGCCGGGAGACTCAAGCCACGTACGCGAGCGAGCGAGACGCGCTGCTGCAGGCCGTGCAGGCCGCGCGCGCACTCGCACTCCGCCTCGCGCGAGCCGCGCCCTTCCCGAGGGAGAGGGACCGGATCTTTGTACGTATGCTTTTACTCCCCACACCGGACGCATAGAACTTTTGCTTCTACTCACACGACCTCGCTACAATTATTTTGATACTAGCTTTTGCTCGCGGCTTCGCTCGCGGTAATTTATCCCCTTAAGGGTGGAATATGGAAAATCCTTTCTATGGGGATGCCTACGTCATAGTAGCTTTATGCGTGCAAAATCTCAGCCCGATCGGTTTAAAATTGACAAAATTTCATACAAACTTTCATCCCCAATTTTATCCCCTTGAGGGTAGAATTAATCAAAATCCTTTCTTAGCGGATGCCTACGTCATAACATCTACCTGTATGCCAAATTTCAGCCCGATCCGTCCAGTGGTTTGGGCTGTGCATTGATAGATCACTATGTCAGTCACCTTTGAGTTATATATATTTAGATAGATATACGATCATTTCGTAATCTGAATCTCAATCGAGCTGAAAGCCATCGCCTATGTACATGAACACCGTCACGAGCGTCATATCACGCTCATGTGCTGTCAAACCAGTGGACTAAAATGTCGTGGTTAATGCAATAACCATTAAAAAAAAATTAAGCAAGATAGTATCTCTGTCTCGCTTATTCTTGTAATGCCTTACCTGCCACTTTACTGCTATCATTAACCAAAACAAAAATAAATCAACTTTATCTTGGTAATTTTTGTAAACTATAATAATAATAATAGTCGGTGAGGAAGACGACCTCGGTGGTCTAGCGGTTTGCACACCGCTTTACGACCGATGGTCGCGGGTTCGATTCCTCGCACGGCACAAACATTTGTATTCATGAGTATGATTGTTTGTATCGGTCTGGCTGTTTTCTATATATAGTATGTATGTATTTTCAAAAAAAAAGATATCTATGTATATATATCAGCTATCTAGTACCCATAACACAAGCTATCGCTAGCTTAACTTGAGTCTAGATGGCGCTGTGTGAATTGTCCTGAGATTATTATTATTAATCTTAGGACAATTCACACCGCCATCTAGACCCAAATTAAGCTAGCTAAAGCTTGTGTCATGGGTACTAGATAAATGATATTATACAAATACATAGTCATATATTTTTTTCGTAGATACATATTATACGTAGAGAATATCCAGACAGATACAATCAACTCATGAATACAAATGTTTGCGCCGTGCGAGGTATCGAACCCGCGACCACGGAAGTATGGCGGTGTACTAAACCGCTACACCACCGAGATCGACAAACTGTCACTATCTCAATATTCTTTTTATATACACAACATACTGCCCCTACTAACATACCTGACAAAAACTTGCAAATTACTAACAATAACCTATTTAATAGTATTCAACCAAACTTCTATTGAGATATGAGATTATATAAACTCCATGAGGTTATATGAATATTTATTATATGTAGTTTAAATTTATATTTTATTTATATGTAATCCATAAACTTATATATTTTGTATTGGTATATTAGTATTTTTATATATTTGCATCTGTATATATATGTATTATTTTTCTGTATCTATTTGTTATAATTTTTGTTTTTCTTTTTTTCTTTCAATTAATTATTAAAGTGCACCGCCTTATTATCTCTGATCAACGCTACTGTTGACTGGTAGAGAATGCCATCAGGCATACATTTTTGTGTGCAAAAGAATAAATAAATAAATAAATAAATAACCCTGCCTGTTATTGTTAGTAATTTTGCAAGTTCTTTTAGTAATCCCATTGCAATGTACCTTGACAAGTTGACCCCCACGCGGTTCCTCCTGTAAACCATCATCTTAAAGTCCTGGTGAATTCCTCATATTCATCTGATCATCTTCCACTGGTGCCCCGCCAGCGTATTCCGTTAGCGCAGGCGAGCACACCATTCCATTATCGCCCCTAAAAAAACATACGTAACATATGGTTACAGGAAAAGCTGATGTCCATCCGTGAGTTCATAGTGCGGCACACGGACATGGTGCTGGAGAAGAGCAGATCCGTGGACGAGGAACGCACCGCAGAGCTGCACGAGGGGCTCGTGGCGCGCGTGCGGGAGATGCTGCTGCAGATGTTCAAGCTCGGGTTCGAGGTTAGCACGCTCTACTTCACTAATACCTTTACACGACACGTCCTTTCACGCGCGATCAGGAGCGAGCACGATAAGGTGGGGCCTTTACACGATACTTTCATTTACGTGCGATTAGGAGCGCGCGATTTAACGCGGGGCCTTTACACGATACGTTATTTCACACTCTCAGGAATGCGCGCGATTTAGCATGGGGTCTTTACACGATACGTTCATTCACGAGCGATCAGGAGCGAGCACGATAAGGTGGGGCCTTTACACGATACTTTCATTTACGTGCGATTAGGAGCGCGCGATTTAACGCGGGGCCTTTACACGATACGTTATTTCACACTCTCAGGAATGCGCGCGATTTAGCATGGGGTCTTTACACGATACGTTCATTCACGAGCGATCAGGAGCGAACGCGATAAGGTGGGGCCTTTACACGATACTTTCATTTACGGGCGATTAGGAGCGCGCAATTTAACGCGCTGCCTTTACACGATACGTTAGTTCACGCGCGATTTAGCACGGAGCCTTTACACATTACGTTATTTCACACGCGATCAGGAGCGCGCGCGATTTAGCACGGAGAATATAACGCAGGCAATTGTGTGGGAGTGCATTTAAATATTTTTTGTGATTGCAACTTTTACTCTTTACTGCGTTATTGTATTTAGCGGGAGAGAGCCAGTGGGCGATAACCTGAGTGACTGCATTTAACAATTTTTGTTATCAGTCTAACGTGCGTATTAGTACGTGTACGTTTCAAGTCATTTCATTTTTAACATTGTATTTTTTATTCCACAGATTTTATTTTCCAAAGACACGTATAGGATTTATAAATTATCAGTAACTCTGTAATGATGATAATATTAGGTTGAAAAGAATACGAGGCTTCGCTCGTAAGTTTATCCCCTTAGGGGTGGATCAAAATCCTTTCTTAGGAGATGTCTAAGTCATAGTAGCTTTATGCATGCAAAGTCTCAGCCCGATCGGTTTAAAATAGACAAAGTTTCATACAAACTTTCATCCCCTATTTTATCCCCTTGGGGGTAGAATTAAACAAAATCGTTTCTTAGCGGATGCCTACGTCATAACATCTACCTGCATGCCAAATTTCAGCCCGATCCGTCCAGTGGTTTGGGCTGTGCGTTGATAGATCACTACGTCAGTCACCTTTGAGTTATATATATTTAGATTTACAATTTTACTAATCTTAGCCAATTATAGTAATTAGAGATGCATTGCACTGAACATAAAAAAACCTTATTATATTACAAGTAAGTCGGTACATAAACAGATCGTTATCTGTAGCATTCTGCTGAGTTGGCTACCTTTTCATTTTCGCGGCACATAAACTCACCTACGTTTCTTTTATTAATTCGTGTTTTTTCTGTATCTCATGTAGGTTATGTGTCTGTAATTGTGAATAAAGAATTTATCTATTTATCTGTCTATTAGCCCCTGAAAGAGCATACGTGTAAAGGCAGCTAATGAGCACCAAAAATACGTTTCAAAACGTATATGTAAACCATTAATTAGATATGTATACACCTTTAGTATTTGTATGTATGTATTTAGTATTCATATAATATTTAACTCTCTTTTTTAGTGCGCTACCTACCTTTCCCTCACCCAATACTTCTATCTCCCAGGTTGTCTGTAAGAGATCGCTTTGAGCGATAAGTCCGCCTTTTGTTCACATATTTTTCTTTCTTTCTTTTTTTTTCTTTTTTATGCGCAATAAAGAGTTTTTATTATTATTATTATCAAAATACCCTGTCTGAAAACTTAAATAATGATAAAACCCCCGAACGTAACTCGGTCGACCAGGTACTATTCACATGTGATCAACAATTAGTTTTTACGTATTCTTCTAGTTCTGTACTGTTTAAACGAGTTCTGTATTTGTAGTGATATGGTTGTATCGTATACACTGCACTTATTGTGGTCAATTTCTTTTCACAACTTCTGTACGAGTTGCACAGCACAGCTTTACTGTACCTATATGGTGAACAGTCCGTTTTGACAGTATGAATTGTGCGTATTGGTACATCTATATTGACTATGATATGAGAGAAATAGACAAATTATTGGTACAGTCAAACCTGGGTGAGATTTTAAGAGACCCGAATATTTGCATCCCTTCGGCAGGAGTTGGCCTTCAGCCGCTCCGTAAGTCCTTCCTTGATTTGGAGTGCCATCTGCACTCGCCCCCTATCGTCCGTTGAAGCTGTAAAGAGCAGTTGTGTTAGAATAGTTAAAAAAAATCAATAGATTATACTAAAACCTATTCAGGATAATCTAGATGAGTCTAGATTACGTTGGTACGGTTATGTCACGTTATAACAAGACCACATGACTTAGAAAAGAATTAAAAGTCAATCCTGAACAAATGAAACACGGAAGACCTCGACTTTCATAGATAGTTGCCATCAAAAAATATATTTTATGCGTAAATATAGACTCCATGCCAGAAACTTCTGGAGATGAATCATTAGGAGAGTAAGTTAGGAAAAATATAAGGTTATACTCAGATCGTCACTCAGGTTTGACTGTTTTTCAAACCAAACCAATTTGACTGTCAAACGGGCGTTCGAAAGCACGCGCAGCACCGTCAGTGGATGTAACGTGTCCGCAGCTGCACCGCGAGCTGTACAAGTTCGCGCGGGGCCCGGGGGCGGGGCCGGGGCCGGGGGCGGGGCCCGGGCCGGGGGCGGGGCCGCGGGCCCGGCCGGCGTCGCTGCAGCCGGCCCGCGCCCCCGCGCCCCGCGCCCGCCCGCGCCCCGGCACAGTGTTCGTGCCGCACTCGCCCGTGCCGCCCGCGACTCAGATGGACGACGAGGTTGGATTTACGGAGTACTATCGCTGTCTCTGTCGCACCGCTGTCGTTTGGTCTTCGCGGGGTATTCGGTGGGCTTCGTGTGCTTATAGTTTTTGGGTCTGTGTTTGTTGGGTGGCTTGGTATTTTGTTAATTGTTAGCTCGGCGCCGGATGTAGCTGGAAAGGTTTGTATCATCGAAGAACTTTCGAGACATTTGATCACATCTCTCATATATTTTATTAAATATATCCTATGCAGTTTCTTATAAGTGATTATTAATTAAGTAATCGGAGATGGAGGGTTTGTTTTATTTATTATTGTGCCCGCGACTTCGTCCGCGTGCTATAGTGACCTTGACCGAATACAGAAAAAATATATAATAATCTAATAAAAAGGCAAAGAAAAAAGATTCCGCGGTATAGTTTCAAAAATGACGATTTTCTATACAAACTTTCATCCCCTATTTTTTACCCCCTTAAGGGTAACAATTTTACAACTTATTCATATTTATTTATACTTAATGAACAGCCTAAAAAATAAGTTTCAAAATACTAGTTTTAAAAATGACGATACTTCCGTAGAACCCTACGTCTCATCTCCCCTTTCAACCCTTTATTCGCATTCAAAAGTAGCGTATGGCCTTTCTCAGGGTCTAGACTATCTATGTACCAAATTTCATTTAAATAGGTTCAATAGTTTTGGCGTGAAAGCGAGACAGACAGACAGTTACTTTCGCATTAATAATCTTAGTAAGGATGATATACTCAAAGAATATAACAAGTAAAGCAATAAATTCTACATAACACATGACATGTGCTTTCCTAATTCCATACTGATTTGCGAAACCATACTCTGCAGTTTTCATTTTCAAAGGCGATTTCGAGTTTGGGTTTCAATTCGGGATTATTAGTAAAAGATAATAGTAGCTTTGCTGGTAAGTTACCATCGACCTCCATACGTTGCTAGGAAATTCATAATGAATTCGTCACGATGGGCTTACTGATCTGACATCATGCTTACCATATCATCCTCCACTGGTACACAGCCAGTGTAGACTGTCCAGACAGGTGCAACATTCCATCATTAGCTTTACTAAAAAAAAGTGGTCTTTTGTAATTATGAATATGGATTTTATCATATTAGTTTGAACACTCAATTCTCCTAAATGTTAATTTTAAAACTCATCTGTATTATTGTAAACATGTATAACATTTATTTGAAAAGAATACGAGCTGAGTTTCTTGTCAGTTCTTCTCATCTCGAAATCACTCCGAACTGACGGTAGATTTGACATATCATAAGAGTCTAATAGACATGCATGAATAAAGATATTTTGAATTTGAATTTGATTTTGAAAGTTTAATATCCATAGCTCTACTTAGTTTGGGACTAGATCTTTGTGTGATGCATTTATGGTTATGATATATTTGCTTGAATTAGCTTTGGTTTGGTCTGGGATTGAAATTGTGGGGATACTTTTTGTGCTTATAACACAGCATTCGTTATCATAACTTTCAAATTGTAAAACAGAGTCATCTACATAGATACCTCTGTCACATATAACTCTACCGCCAAGCAGATTGCTTACAAAAGCCATGATCCGGCTCGAAGGCTTAAAATATAGTAATGGAATTACAGCATCATCATTGTTGTGTTGTGATCTGTGATGTAATAAATGTTATTCAATTCTATACTCTATCTCATTATTTAAATTATTAACCGGGTCTTAACACGAATAATTTTGCATAATTTTGAGGTTGCACTAGCCGTGGTCAGCTCGTGACCACGGCCAGTGCAACCTAGTCGAAACGTCGAGAGAGGTAAATACCTTTATTTGCCATAAAATTATTCGTGTTAAGACCCGGTTAATAATTTAAATAATGTATATTAAACACGAAAGTTTAAAATTAACTATACTCTATCTCATTTGCGTAATAAACAATTTCAGATCCACCGCGAGTTGTACAGTTTCGTGAACGCGCCGGGTGTACGTTCGTCTTTTGCGTGCTCGCGTCGCTCTCTACTAAACTCGCCGCCGCGCCGCTACAAGCTGGCGCGTTCTGAGAGCGTCAATGATGAATTCGAAGCCAGCGTGTTTGATGATCGTCTGTTTGACAATCTGAATCCGGAGAATCTTGTAAGTTTTATTGTGGGATTGGAAGGATTATTAACTGAATGTTGTATGCGTGAATTGGTACACGAATGACTAGAGAATGGATGTAAGAGTAAAGTGAGAGAGCTGGACGATTACGACGTGAACATTTTCTTTAGTTATTGTATTGTAAATTTTATAATATTTAACGGAATTAAGTTCGTAACTTAAAGTAATTTGTTATTTCGACTCCCCGGAACTACATTTCTGGGGGCTAATCTGGGATCGAAAGATTTTTTTCACGATTACGAATAAGAGAAGAGATCGGGTGGCGAGAAAATTTAAAAAAACCTTGTCTGAAATCTTGTCAAAAAATGTAAGTACTTGAAGTAAAAAAACAGAATTTCTTTATGTCGCAAGTAGAGCGTGATTCCCAGTAGAATCGTCGTTTTTTTTTATGTATGATAATGGAATGGTGCACCCGCTTGCGCTAACGGTTTACGCTGTTAGCCTGTCGTTAAACTAACAATTGCATTGTTTATATAGAACAGCATAGAACGGCTCTTATCCGGCGATGAGCCGGCGGAGGAGCGTGGGCCGGAGAAGCCGGACGCGGCGGACAGGCCGGACGGGCCGGACGGGCCGGACGCGCCGGACGGTGTGCAGCGGCGGTGGGCGGCGACCGTGGCGCGCGCCGTCATACAGTTCGCCAAGTGCTGGATGCACTTCGTGGTGCAAAGATGTGACCGTGGACGAGGATTGAGACCTAGGTATATTTTTAAAAATATATTTATATATATATACTGTATGTATGTATGTATGTATGTATACTAAGTTGCAACACCGATTTGGATATACTGTAATGGTGTTGTAATATTGTAATGAATAAATGAATTAATATTTCAGATGGGCGAGTCAAGGACTAGATTTCCTGACTCTGGCTTGCGACCCTTGTATTACAAAGCATCTCAGCGAGGAGGAATTCAAGGTAAATGCAGTTATAAATGTATAATAGATTAGAACTCAAATTAATTTGACTAAATATGACCTTTTGGCTTTGTACATGTTATAATAATCTTGGACAATTCACATAGCGCCAACTAACTAGATAACTCATATAATGTGTTTTAAGAGTGTGTGTGTCACACGTTGTCACACATATGCATACTAAACAACTGATGCTACCTACGTTGCTAATAAGTTACACGTGGCGTGAAATAAGAGTTATTTAAACGCAAGTTACAAGGACTGAAGGTGGCATGTGTATGACATACTTGTATGCACAGCATACATTTACAAAATTATGTATAAATATGTAACATATTTATATATTTATGCACAGCATACATTTACAAAAAAAAATGTATAAGTATACAACATATTTGTACATTTATGCACAGCATACATTTACAAAAAAAATGTATAAATATGCATATTTATACATTTTATTGTAAATACATGCGTAGAAAATATACGCACCGATACAAACAATCGTGTTCATAAATAAAAATGTTTAGATCGGGGAATCGAACCCTCGACCATCTAAAGTGAAGCGATGTGGTAAATCGACTGTGTGATGAATCTGATGTGACAACTCGGAACTGTCGGAAGTAAAGCGTCCTAAACTGTTAGATGGCTGAGGACATTGGTAATCAACATGTGTCGTATATAACAGGAGCTGGAGACGCTGATGGACGGGTGCATCTCGCACGTGGTGGGCAGCCGGCCCGCGCCCGCCCCCGCGCGCCCCGCCCCGCCCCGCGCGCCCCGCGCCCGCCGCCCCCGCCCGCAGGTACTTACAGACAGACAAAAATTGTAATAAATGTTATTTTGGTGTATGTACCGTATTTATATTCATATGCATGTAGTGAAAAACGGTTATTTTAATATTACAAACAGACACTCCAATTTTATTTATATGTACAAACAAGTTTCTTGCTCATTCTTCTTGTGATGAATCTGCATTCTGAATGAGTGGTAGAATCAAAATATGACTATTCAAAAGTGTTTGTAATGAATTTATTTGAATAAAGATTATTTCTATTTGTATTTGTAATGCTGTAAGTTTATAGTAGTAATGTAATGTATTATTATATAGAGTATGTTTTGATTTAAAGTGTGTTGTGTGTTGTGTGTTGTGTGTTGTGCAGCCGGAGCCGCCGGCGGGCAGCCCGCGCGGGGTGCCGGCGCCGCCCGCGCCGCCGCTGGAGCCCGCGCCACTCCTCAGCTTCAGGGGACTCGAACCCGCAGGTATGTCTCCTCACATCTCCTCAAATCTCCTCACATCTCCTCACATCTCCTCAAATCTCCTCACATCTCCTCACATCTCAAATCTCCTCACATCTCACATCTCCTCAAATCTCCTCACATCTCCCCACATCTCATATCTCCTCAAATCTCCTCACATCTCACATCTCAAATCTCCTCACTTCTCCTCACATCTCCTCAAATCTCCTCACATCTCCTCACATCTCCTCACATCTCCTTAAATCTCCTCACATCTCCCCACATCTCCTCACATCACCTCAAATCTCCTCACATCTCACATCTCCTCAAATCTCCTCACATCTCCCCACATCTCACATCTCCTCAAATCTCCTCACATCTCACATCTTCTCACATCTCCTCAAATCTCCTCACATCTCCCGCTTCTCTCGCTTCTCTATCTTACTCACCTGCCTTTACACGATACGTTCCTTCACGCAAAATCAGGAGCGCGCAATCGTCAAGGATTGCATTTTAATTTTTTGTTATACCTCTTTTGCGCGTGATAGCGAGTATTTTTCTAGTCATTTCACTTAAAAAGAACGGTCTTTACGATCTATGCAGCTGTCACCCGGGAAAGAATACACGTAAATGTAAATAAAAAGAAAAAACTGCACCTCTCCAGGTCGTGTACCACGTCCTTCAATCGTGCATAATGTTGTGTATTTTTGTAACAATTGTTATAATTGTAAAACAACGGACATATGTATAAAGGTGGACTTTGTGAGGACGTCTGACTACGGAGCAAACACGTAATTATGGAATATCATGATGTATTATTAATAAAAAAATCATTGTGACTTCTATTTTGTCACTTTCATTCTAATCAAGAAAGTTGTTAGAGAGAAAAGGATATATCACTCTCTATCAACCTGTATGTAGCGGTGGTGTGAGAGACATAAGAGACGTCATGTTCTCGTGCACCATCCCCGTAACGTCCCGTTTGCCGGGTGTGGTGGTCTCCCGGTTAACAGGCGGTGTAAAAAAAGAAGAATCAAATACCTATATATATGCAATTTCATTTATGAACTTCCTTTTTTTTTTGTTATATTGTTTACCACAAATATGTAAAAAGGTAGCAATCCAATGCACTGTCAGTCCTGGGAGACATACCACTCTAGCTTTAAAAAAAAACAATTATTATGCAAAATTTTGATCTCGTCACCGTTTTGTAGATAATAAATGGTAGGGACAGACATATTTACACTGAAATATTAATTGTCAGAGATTGTACTGTAGTCAGCGATCGCATATAAACATTCAGTCAAGTAGCCAAGAATAGGGTGAATAACCAGTGCAGTCGCAGTGCGGTCGCACAGTCGTCGCGTGTGCGGCGCATTAGCCGCAATGGAGAGCGTTTATAACGTGTTCTAAAGTCTCACTTAAAACGCCATCTCATGTTCCACCGTTTGGTCGCACAGTCGTCGCGTGTGCGGCGCACTAGCCGCAATGGATAGCGTTTAGAACGTGTTTTAAAGTCTCACTTGTGCCGGCGCGCGTGTGGTGTGGTGCCGCAGCCGGCGCGTGTGCGGCGCACTGTCCGCGGTGGAGCGCGCGCGCAGCTCGCGGCTGTCCGCGCGCGGCGCGGTGGGGCGCGTGGTGGAGGCGCGCGCGCCGGGGCTGCAGCGCGCGCTCCGGCACGTCACCTTCAAGTGGCAGCGCGGGCTCAAGATCGGCGCTGGGACCTTCGGGAAGGTACTTTTTTTATAGATTATATACGAAACACCATACTATTATAATAATAATAATCATCTCAGGACAAATTCAAATTCAATTCAATATTCAAAATATCTTTATTCATGTAGGTCTATAACAGACTCTTATGATATGTCAAATCTACCGTCAGTTCGGAATGATTTCGAGATGAGAAGAACTGACAAGAAACTCAGCTCGTATTTTTTTAATGTTGTACATATTTACAATAATACTATTTCATTTAAATTCAAATTTGGGAGAATAGAGTGACCACCAGCATATGCTATATAAAAAAGTCAAGTTAAGCTATTGTTAAGTGTCTTAGATAACTAATACAAATACATAGAATTTTTTTTTCGTAAATACATACATATTATACATAGAAAACAGCCAGACTGATACAAACAATCATACTCATGAATACAAATGTTTGTGCCATGCGAGGAATCGATCCTGCGATCATCGGACCTAAAGCGGTGTGCTAGACCACTAGACCACCGAGGTCGTCAATTATAATCATATAAATTACTCACGCACTATATATAATTTCATTATGTATCACTATATAATGAAATCAGTGTGTAACATAAGTACTCAACAATATTTTATTTTAACATCCCCATAGATTATCAAAATCATTAATCATTATAAATGTAGAAACAACCCCTACAGATGATATGGAGTCCCATACCTACACTACAATGTAATACTAATTGTAAATTAAGCCCAGTAAAACAGATTAAAAAATTTCCACTAAACTGTCACAAAAAAAATTCACGACTAAAATATTCACTTTCACAATTGATACTACGCGGAATCAATCAGTTTTGACAACATTTTTACTCCGAAGAGTTTTTGTTTCAAAATGTATCCAAAATGATACTATATTAATGATGCCAGGTGTACACCGTGGTGAACACGGAGAGTGGACAGCTGCTGGCGATGAAAGAGCTCAGCATCGGAGCAGGTGACCGCCGCGCCATACAACGCGCCGCCAACGAACTGCGCGTGCTGGAGGGCGTGGTGCACCCGCACCTCGTGCGCTACTACGGCTGCGAGCTGCACCGGGTCAGTACGGCGCACTCAGTTTACGGTCCTTCGAGCCGGATATGGATATATGAGTCTCCTGTGAACAACACGATCTGCATGATATCATTAGATAATATAAAACAAAGTCGCTGTCGCTGTCTGTCCGTCCCTATGTATGCTTAAATCTTTAAAATTACGCAACGGATTTTGAAGCGGTTTTTTAATAGATAGAGTGATTCAAGAGGAAGGTTTATATGTATTTAATTCATGCACACCCGTGCGAAGCCGGGGCGAGTAGCTAGTAATGTAAAAATGATAAGTTCGTACTGCTTTCCGTATAGTACTACTATATGATGTGATGACATCTTTAAGTAAAAAATACATGCTAATTATTTTTAATAATGACAATAGGAAGTTAAGAAATATTTTATTTTAATAGAGTATTTTAAACATATTTATATTGTTCTTGGAATGGAAAACAAAAAACATTTGCAGTTTCTATTGAAATTTCGTAAACGATTAGTGAGACGAGTGTACCGCGTCCTCCAGGAGGAGATGCTGCTGTTCATGGAGCTGTGCGTGGAGGGCTCGCTGGAGACGCTGGTGGCGGGGTCTGGTCCGCTGCCCGAGCTGACCGTGCGCCGCTACACCCGGCAGCTGCTCAGCGCCGTCATAGAGCTGCACGCGCGGACCATCGCCCACCGCGACATCAAAAGTTAGTGCACGCACGCACGCACGCACTCGCATGCACGCAGGCACGCACGCACGCACTCGCATGCACGCAGGCACGCACGCACGCACTCGCATGCACGCAGGCACGCACGCACGCACTCGCATGCACGCAGGCACGCACGCACGCACTCGCATGCACGCAGGCACGCACGCACGCTACATGCGCATGCACACTGTTAGAGTTTAATTATATTCGTTATCACTAAAATATTATTGCTTGCGTGCAAAGCCAATAGATGGCGCTGTAACCAAAATAAAACCCTTAAGACCTTGTGATTTCAATACACGCATTCGCACGTACTCACGCACACAGATTCACATACGCACTAACTTTCATACACTCACTACTCTCTCTCTCATTATATCATCTGCTTCTTCTTTATCCCATTTATTTGGAGTCGGCGTAATATGTTTTTCTCTTCCATTCATCTCTGTTCGCAGTCATCTCGTTATTTACTCCCTTTCTCAACATATCATCTTTTACAGAGTCCATCCATCTCACACACTCGCTTATAACCATCCACATTCATACGTAACACGTCCTTCACTGACTTTCTCTCATACACACAAATATAGATACGCATACTACTTTCTCATGTAAAATATAACTAGACATTGATTGGCTCACGTCACTCGTGAAACGAGGCACGCAGAGACTGGTCTGCTATGCGCATGCACACTGATTTAATCTTATTATAATTTTTATATTTGTTATCAGTGCTTGTTAAAATATTATTCACACGTTTGACGTGTAAATGTAAACTTAGATGGATTGTAACCAAAATAAAACACACTTAAGTTTCTTGTGTTTTCAATACACGCATTCGCACGTAGATAACGCACACAGATGACTATTCAAAGTGCTTAAATTAAGTTTATTTGAATAAATGATTTTCTCTCTCTCATTATATCATTCTATTATGTATAAAATAAATAAAAATATATACCTTCACGACTTGTGATTGATGGGATTAATAGATGATTGGATACCATTCCATTAACATCCAGTGAAGGATGAAAAAAACAGTCATCAATCAGCGTATTGATACGCCAGCAAGATTAATAATAACATATCATCTTTCACACAGTCCATCCATCTCTTTTTCAGAGCTTGTGTTATCCTCTAGACAACTGATATAAATACATGGATACATCCACATTCATATGTAACATTAACACCAGTGAAGGATGATAAAATAAACATGAAATGAGGTCAATCAGTGCACACGACGACACGACAGCAAGATTATGATCATCGACAATTCTCAAAGCATGTCTTTAAACTAACTCTTCTCATAACTACAGAACTGAACTGTGCTAGACACGTCGACACTTATAAGTAACTTTTCTGGCCAATGATAATTAAGATGCGTCTTATATGTCAGGTGGAAATATCTTCTTGACGCATGAGGGCCACTGCCTGAAGCTTGGCGACTTTGGCTGCGCTGTAAAGATACGTGCCCATACTACCGCGCCAGGGGAACTGCAGGGCTACATCGGCACACAAGGTACGTGTCATATATACATGCATCAGAATTTTTAATAATATCAAAGACTAAATTGACCGGTATAAATGTCAAATTTCCAATAACCTAATTAATAATAATAATTCTTTATTGGAATTAAAATATATAATATTTTACAAAGTAGGGTAGTGTAACGATAACATACACATTAGTAGACAATACTCAGTCGTGGCCGTCAACGATGTTAGCGTTCCAGTAGTATAACTATAAATTTATATAGGCTGAGACAATAAATATTTAGTTATTTGAAAGAAAGTCATGCATGTAAAAAATACAATATAAACAACTGGATTTTGACGTGGGGATGGCATCTTTGTCCCTAAGAAACTAAGGATTTTGGTAAATTCCATAAATTAACGCGAGCGAAGCCGCGGGCAAAAGCTAGTTATATATATAAACCTTCCTCTTGAATCACTCTATCTATTAAAAAATGACTTCAAAATCCGTGGCGTAGTAAAGATTTAAGCATACATAGGGACAGACAGCGACAGCGACTTTGATTCATACTATGTAGAATAGAATAGAATAGAATTTTATTAACTCGTTTTTACAGTAATAACTTAAGAAATACAAGAATAATTTAGACATTAAAAAACGGTGTCAATGTGGGCCACAACTCAGCATAATGCTGGAAATAGTTTCCAGCGCTGATTTTCAGTTGGGCCCCCAGTACGGACGCGCAAATATTACAATTAAAAAATACGTATACATTAACTTATATAATACAATTAAAATTAAAATAAAAATATCAAGAGAAAAAGTATATAAATAATAAAACAGGAAAATTATATATTAATAATCCTAAAACATTATATACGTAATGGATAAAAGAAAAAATAAACAATTATAAAAAAAAAATACCCGTAGTGATGGGTACGGTGCATTTTATGTACTCTAATAACGGTATCGTAGTATTAAAATAAAAAATATCCAATAACACTTGCTCTCTCTAGTACCAGCAAATAGTTTCAGCCAAGGAAAATGACATGGTTTTAACACGGGCGCGTAAGCAGATGTAAAGAATGAGGGGCTTATTATCAAAAGACGTGAGCTTCTCGTAACCGAAATGATATTTATTCAGTAGAAAACTAAAACACACATTAAACAAACAAAAAATAGAATAACAAATAGTGCGAACAATTACAAACAAATAACAGTACACTAATTACGTATGTGTGCGAGCATGTGTATGTCTGTCGAAGCATCTACTGAATAGGTCCGTGCTCAGCATAATGCTGCAGCGGCTGGAGCGCTGCAACGCTGTTTTTCAGCACAAGACCTGGGGTGGTGTATTGCCGTGTTGTACACGATTATTTGCCAGTGATGACTTACGGAACAGAGACGTGGTCGCTAACTATGGGCCCCATCAACAAGCTCAGAGTCACTCAGAGGGCAATGGAGAGGGCTATGCTCGGAGTTTCTCTGCGTGATCGAATCAGAAATGAGGAGATCCGCAGAAGAACCAGAGTGACCGACATAGCCCGAAGAATTGCGACTTTGAAGTGGCAATGGGCAGGGCACATAGCTCGTAGGACAGATGGCCGTTGGGGCAGTAAAGTCCTCCAGTGGCGACCACGGACCGGAAGACGCAGCGTGGGAAGGCCTCCAGCAAGGTGGACCGACGATCTGGTCAAGGTCGCGGGAAGGCATTGGATGCGAGCAGCGCAGGACCGATCGTCGTGGAGATCTTTGGGGGAGGCCTATGTCCAGCAGTGGACGTCTTCCGGGCTGTGATGATGATGATGATGACACGATTTATGATATGATACAATACTTAATATATAGTAATAAACAGTAAAATGATGATGTAATGATGGTGATTATCGAAATATTCCTTATTTGGAGATATCTGTTTTCATATGTAGTAGTTTTAAGAAATTTTGTCTATAATATAGGTTAGTAAATAGAAATATTATGTCTGTCCTGCTGTTGCTACTATTTTGTTTTTTATACTATTGTGTTTGTAATTTGTTTCATATTCCATGGAGAAGAACAGAGCTGGCCAAACAGGCTCCTATTTCTCTGGCATTGAGTCTACTCAATGGTGTAGTTAGTCGCTTTCCAGATCTAGACATATTTACTTGTAATTTGCTGGAGTTTCGTAGGATGGCAGTAGATTATTTAGGTAGTATGTTAAATGGAGATTAGCTATTATTATTATTATTGTTTTTTTTTCTCTTTTGTTTTTCTTGTGTAATTAGTGTTTATAATTGTGTGTATTTGTATATTATGTTCCTAAGTGGGCATATTGGGAGACTGTTAAGCTCACTTAGTACGATGTAATTAAATAAATAAATAAATAAATTATTGTGTATGTCAGCGTACATGGCGCCGGAGGTGTTCATGAAGTCCACGGGGCACGGGCGAGCCGCAGACGTCTGGTCCGTCGGCTGCGTCGTCACTGAGATGGCCTCCGGGAAGGTCAGTGATACTATTCCTAATTATAATCTTTATTTACCACTCACATCTTTATGAGTACTTCCTTACAATAATAATAACCTATCGACGACCTCGGTAGTCTAACGGGTACGCCGTTTTACGTTCGATGGTCGCTGGTTCGATTCCTCACACGGCACAAATATTTGTATTCATGAGTATGATTGTTTGTAGCGGTTACCAGTTACAATTCTCTTTTAATCAACCTTTGGGATGTGTAGAGATACTTGAATGCGGCTTAAAAATATTTAATACAATTATAATAACAAAATACACATAAATACATACAATAAACCTGATATATTTTATTTATTTTAATTTTAATTCGGATTACATCCATATTGTCTTAGTAAAAAACTTATAAAACTATGTTAGTAACATATAATATACAGATACGTAGATATATTTAATTCATATATATGTGTCCACGTCCAGAAGCACTGGGTCCACAATGCAACGTTATCCAATGCCTCTAGAGCAGACAATCAGATATATTCGCAACAGTTTTTAGGATCCTGTTTGAGCTCCCCAGAATTCTAGACATCAGTGATGCAGCTCTTTTCGCATTATGGCTTCAAATCCATCTACCCGCTATATGTATATAAATTTATTTTATGTTTATAAATAAAGTTTAATTATATATATATTTTATTTAATCTTTTGTTTTGTTTGGTATTTATATATTGTAGCGTTGTTGGAAAGCACTGTATAAACATTTTTTCTTTCGGTCTTTCTTCTTTCGTTATATAGTTACATCATTAATAGAATTGATTCATTCATTCATTCATTCAATGTACAGCGTCCGTTTTCGGAGAGCGACAGCAACTATCAGATAATGTTCGTGGTGGGCATGGGCGGGCGGCCCGCGGTGCCGGAGTCTCTGTCGGCCGAGGGACAGAACTTCTGCATGTCGTGCCTCACACACGACCCCGACCACAGGCCGCGCGCGGAGGAGCTCACCATGCACCACTTCCTCATGGTGAGTATATTGACCTCCTCCTTCTGCCCTTACCAAGTAACACAAACACGACACCGTCCTCGCGCGCAAAGACGACGACCTCAACTACACCGTACAGCGCAATTAACCGATCGCTCTGATGGTGAGTATATCATCCTTCTCCTTCGGTCCTTACTAAGTTACACAAACACGACACCGTCCTCGCGCACGAAGACAATGTCCTCAACCGTACAGCGCAATCAACCAGGCACTCTACACCGGCGCCTCTGGTCGCACCACAGATCGATCCCCCATTCAATTCAAACGCTATCTTTTAAATTACGCAACAGATTTTAATGCAGTTTTAAGCAATAGATAGAATGATTCAACTCCATGAGATAAAGCTAGTAAAAAAAAAATTAAAATATAGAAATATGAGTAATATATGAATTAATTTTAATTATTTCAGAGCAATGCCGATAACGACTGCAAATGCGAGCCAGCCTATCTCATATAAATATCATCATAACTGATGTATACATAAAAAAGTTATTGTGACTTCTATTTTGTCACTTTCATTCTAATCAAGAAAGTAGCTAGAGAGAGGAGGATAGCAGAGCCTATCTCATATAAATATCCAAAGCTAAGGTACATATATGACTGATTCATAAAAAAACATTGTGACTTGTGTTTTGTCACTTTCATTCTAACCAAGAAAGTAGCTAGAGAGAAAAGGATAGCAGAGCCTATCTCATACAAATATTCATAGCTAAGGTACTCTTAACTGATGTATACATAAAAAAGTCATTGTGGCTTGTGTTTTGTCACTTTCATTCTAATCAAGAAAGTAGCTAGAGAGAGAAGGACAGCAGATCATTAGACTGTTTATGTAAATATACACAAATAGAACGAGAAACACCGCGCGCGCAAACAGTGAGCGCAGTCCTGCGTACAACAATCGTGCGTGCTTTAGCGCCATTTTGTAATTATTAATTATCATTGCAAAATGGCGGACATCTGACTACGAAGCAAAGATATAATTATAGTTATTGATAATTTATAAAACCTATACGTGTCTTTGGAAAAATAATATTTATAAAATAAAAAATATAATTTAAAAAGAAAGTGTAATCATATGTGTCATACATATAGATATTTGTATGACTCATAATCACAATCTTATATACAAACAACTCATACTCATATAATCTTATATATGAGTCATATATAAGATTCATATTAATATTATAATAAAATAAATAAATTTTAATTTATAATAAAATTATAATAAAAATTCAAATTCAAAATATCTTTATTCATGTAGGTCTATTACAGACTCTTATGATATGTCAAATCTACCGTCAGTTCGGAATGATTTCGAGATGAGAAGAACTGACAAGAAACTCAGCTCGTATTCTTTTCAAATAAATGTTGTACATGTTTACAATAATACAGATTCATTTTTAAATTATTAAATTATAAAAATTAAATAATTGTAATAAATTTGCTTACGTAATACTTGAACAGCCCCTATTTCTATTTCATAAAAAAATATTTAAATGAAATCACTCAGGATTGCGCGCGCTGTTTTTCCCGCGCAAAAAGGACGTACCTGTAAGATCAGGTAGTATGACATTCTGCTGACCTTCTCCCTCCCTTGGCCTCAAAGGTCATCCCCTATTAATTCGGGGGTAAGTTTTAATGCATAGACTGCAATTAGATACTTAAAATTGTTAATAATGATTTGAAATTATATAAATAAATTGTTTTAACTTAATTTTACGCTTGTTAATTTAGTATATGTAAAGAATTTTTAAGGTGCAAAAGAGCTTACAAAATACGTAAATCATTATATAGTATAAGACAAAGTCGCTGTCGCCGTCTGTCCGTTCCTATGTATGCTTAAATTTTTAAAACTACGCAACGAATTTTGAAGCGGTTTTTTTAGTAGATAGAGTGATTCAAGAGGAAGTTTTATATGTATAATATATGTACACGGGGCGAGTAGCTAGTGGTTTAATAAACTGCCTCATCTTCTAATGGTCACGAGTTCATTCCCACGCAATACAATCATATTATATATGTATATATATTCATGATTGTATTGGTTTGGATGCTTTTGTATGTTTACAATGTATTTAAGTCTAAGTTCTATTTACTTAAGGACTAGATGGCGCTGTGTGAATTGTATATGTTTCTATATGTATAATAATAATTATAGTTACTATAGGAGAAATATTATTTTAATTAGAAAATAAAAAAAAAAAACTTTAAGAATGTGCCTATCAAAAGGCGGCCTTATTGCTGAAAGCAATCTCTTATAGACAACCGTATATTGTATATTTAATAATTACATATATGAAATAATCACAACAAGGCATAAACAATTGAGGGCATTATGAAAAATGTAGAGAAAACGTAGTACATATTTTACTATATGTGTGTAGAGAAATATATATATATAACAGTATACTAGCTGACCCCGCAAATATTGTTTTGTCATATAAATTAAAATCGCTATTAAAAAATTGGGGTTGATGCTAGAAGGGTGAAAATTTAGGGTTGTATGTATTTTTCAATACTAAATAATAATAAAATGTTATGTCGAAAAATTAAAACTTATTCTCTGTATACCAGATTCCTTATTATCATAATAGCAATTCGTAAAAGTTTGTTAAAATCTGTAAAGCGAAAGCGATTTTACTCGTTTACTCAAAAATTCCAAACATCTTTGTGAGTACAAGATCGAGGTGTACCTTTTTATTATTTTTTTATTAGGGAAACAATACAGTAAAATATCGAGAATAACTAACAATTTAAATAAATATGCATATTTATATTGTCTTCGCATATACAAAACTAGAACACTTGTTTGAAAAAATATTAATACAGAAAGCTAATGTTCGTAAATGACTAAAAGGGGTTTTAGGGGTGCATATCCCTTACCACTTAGGGGTATGTAAAATAGAGAGTAGCCGATTCTCAGACCTACTGAATATGCATATAAAATTTCATTAGAATCTATCAAGCCGTTTGGGAGAAGTATGATAACTAACATTGTGACACGAGTGGATAGGAAAATAGTAAAAAATGTTATTTTGGTGTATGCACTATATTTATATTCATATGCATGTAGTAAGAAACGGTTATTTCAATATTACAAACAGACACTCCAATTTTATATATATGTATATAGATTTGTGATAGTAACATAGTTGCTATGAATTTAATTATATAGTGAATCTTGAATATATTAGGCAATTTGTGTTGGTACTTACTGAAGTGATAGAGGAATATTTAAATTGGTAACGGGGTCTTAACACGATTTTTTGTGGTAAATAAATGTATTTACCTTTCGACTAGGTAAGTCAAGAGAGGTAAACCTTTATCTTACTAATATCTAAATATACATAACTCAAAGGTGACTGACAGTGATCTATCAACGCACAGCCCAAACCACTGGACGGATCGGGCTGAAATTTGGCATGCAGGTAGATGATATAACGTAGGCATCCGCTAAGAAAGAATTTTGATTAATTCTAACCCCAAGGGTATAAAATCGGGGATGAAAGTTTTTATGAAACTTTGTCAATTTCAAACCCATCGGGCTGAGACTTTACATGCCTAAAGCTAAAGACGTAGGCATCTCCTAAGAAAGGATTTTGATGAATTCCACCCTTAAGAGGATAAATTAACGCGAGCGAAGCCGCGGGCAAAAGCTAGTTATAAATAAAAAGCAATATTTTATGAATATGTATGGACCACAGATCTCGATGTAAGGAACAGAATTAGTGCGGGATGGATGAAATAGAATAGAAAATCATTTATTCAAATAAACTCAATTTAAGCACTTTTGAATTTACTTTTGTCTACCGTTCGTTCGGAAAGCTGTCTCATCACAAGAAGAACGAGCAAGAAACTTGTGTGTTGCTCTTTTAAATAATCCTTGTAAGTTTACATTTACAAGTCGAAACGTGTGAATACAAACTACCAACCATCACTAATTTTTTTGGGTCAAATATAAATATGCAATAAGATTAAATCAGTCGTAGTGATAAGAGCAGACCAGTCCCTACAAGCAGCACTCGTTTACGAATATAACGGATGAGCCAGCCATCACTGCGCTCGACCGTATTTTAGGGAGCCCAATGACCCGGCTCACCACGCCGCCACATGTCTGGACATTTTAGTGAGCATGACTACTCATTCCACTCGACCACGTCACAGCTACTTAAAATTACTATAGTACAGTTAGTTTCCTATTAAATTATTCGTGTAGGTTACGTGTCATTTAACTGATCCGTTTAACAATTTGAATAATGCGTATTTCTTATCCTTACTTAATATTATAAATGCGAAAGTAACTCTGTCTGTCTGTCTGTCTCGCTTTCACGCCGAAACCACTGAACCGATTTAAATGAAATTTGATACACAGATAGTCTAGACCCTGACAAAGGATATAAGCTACATTTTAATGCAAAAAAAGGGTTGCAAGAATGAGAAGAATTGAGAAGAATGGAAGTATCGTCATATTACGCGGACGAAGTCGCAGGCGCAGCTATATATAAATATTAAAAAGAAGAATTCAGACATTGTTTCATCCATAAGATTATTAGAGAGTAAAATTATTAAAATAAAATCATGTTGCAGCTATATTTTTAATCATCATAATCATCTGGATGAATGGCGATCCTCCACAGTGCGTTTTTCTAGAAACTTTTCCACGCAAAACATTGTGGAGTCACCTTCCAGCAATGGTATTTCCGATACGATATTGAAACCTTCAAGAAAAGAGCTTATTCCTTTTTAAAAGGCCGACAACGTACTTGCAATTCCCCTGGTGTTGCGGGTGCTCATGGGCGGCGGTAATCACTTACCATCATGTGAGCCGCATGCTCGTTTGTTGTAGGCTATAAAAACATTGGAAATTCTATGGAACTGTTTTTATTGGATATGAATTAAATAATATTACATCATTTATAGAAATATTAGAATGATGTAATATTCTAAAAATCTACATATATAGTATAAAATAAAGTCGTTTCCGCTATCTGTTCGCTTAGATCTTTTAAACTACGCAACAGATTTTAATGCAGTTTGTTGCAATAGAGTGATTCAAGAGGAAGGTTTATATGTATAATACATGTACACCCGTGCGAAGCCGGGGCGAGTAGCTAGTGGGTAAAGGCATAGCATAATGCATTTATAGTGTTTTCTTGTACAGTTAATAATTTTATACAAATTTAATAAATCATCATTATATAGTATAAAACAAAGTCGCTGTCTGTCCCTATGTATGCTTAAATCTTTAAAACTACAACTAGATTATGTAGTTGTTTTTTTTAATAGAGAGACCTTAGAATCACTCTATATATTAAAAACCGCTTCAAAATCCGTTGCGTAGTTTTAAAGATTTAAGCATACATAGGGACAGACAGCGACAGCGACTTTGTTTTATACTATATAATGATGTTAGATGCAGAAAAATCACCCGAAAATATTTGAGGGGTGCCAAAAACTTAATTTGGATGTTTTACAATAATTTGTATTCTCTCTTATCTTGCATGTTATTTTTGTTATATAAAATTATTTTCTTAATTATTTTTATATTGTTTTAAAATTGTTACTCATTCCTATAACAAGATATATAAATTTTATCTCAATGATTACGTTTAATTTAGATAATTAAATGAACAAATGAAACTAAATGTGTTAAATAAATAATTTTTTAAACAAAAAAATGGTACTTTTTATTGTATATAATATTATGTTATAAAATATATAAATTCAAGTACAGTCGGCCACAAATCCTATATGTAAAATCTTTAAACGAATCACAGTGATAGTGAGAATGTTACAAACATAGTAATATGTTGAACTGTACATTTTTTTTAGTTTGAGAAAATACCCCATGTAGATTCACTAACCCCATAGGGATGTGAACAGGTTACTCTAAGTAAAAATAAATGAACATAAGCGAGACGCTTGTATAAATGTTTATTATGACGACCTCGGTGGTCTAGCGGTCTAGCACACCGCTTTACGACCGATGGTCGCGGGTTCGAATCCTCGCACGGCACAAACATTTGTATTCTGAGTATGATTGTTTACGGTCTGGGTGTTTTCTATG